AATTCATGTTTTAAAAGCCCATTTTAAAAAAGTTTATTATTTTTATTTCCTGTGTATGAGTGTATTGCCTGCATGCAGGTAGGTGTACCCATGTAGTGCAGTACCCACGAAGGTCAGAAGAAGGCATCAGATTCCCCTGGAAGTGCAGTCACGAATAGTTGTTAGCTGCTATGTGGGTGCTGAGAATTGAACCTGGGTCCTCTGCAACAACCAGTGCTCTTAACTGCTGAGTCACCTATCCAGTCCCTCAAAGCCTATTTTGAGCTGGGGGGTGATGTCACATGTTTCTAGTCCTGATGCTCTGAAGGCAGAGGCAAGAGGATTGCTAAAATTTGAGGTCAGGTCAGCCTGGCTATACTAGTTGAGTTCTAGGCCAGCTAGGGCTACACAGAAAAATCTCAAAAAAAAAAAAAATAAAAAAAGTAGCTAAAAAGTTTCAAGAATAAAAATGGAAGCCAAGCCTGATGGTGCAGGCTTAAGAGACTGAGGGAAGGAATATCTAAGTTCAAGGTTTGCTTGGGCTACAGAGTGAGTTCAAGGCCAGCCTGAGCAACTTAACAAGACCCTGATCTCAGGAAAAAAGAAAAAAGAATGAAGTGGGCTGGGGCTGTAGCTCAGTGGTAGAGGGCATGCTTAGTAGGGTCCTAGGTTCAGACCCTACTAATGACCTTCCCTCCCTAAGGATATTATTACGTTGGAAGAGGCTTGGGCTAGTCTGCTGGGACCTCAGTGCCTGAGATGAAGACAGGAACTCCTATCTATCAATACTCAATGGCAACACAAGCAGAGTGGCCTTGGATTTCAGACTGCACATTTCTAACACACACAGCTTGCTCTTAGCCTTGACAGCAATGATTTTTTTTTTTTGCCTGTGTGTTAAAGTTCTGGTTCCATCAACAGCTACACTGTGACTTTGGTCTCACACTTACTAGTCTACAATCCCCCAATCACAATTTCAAAATAAAAACAACTCAGAAACCTAAATTTTCCCTTCCAATGTGGTTCCAAATTAGTAGCAAAACCTGACCTGATGTGAGCTATTTAATCTGATTTGATCTCATGTATAGGAATACGTTTTGCTGTTAAGTACCAATATAGTAAAACAAGGAGTGTTAATGTACGGACAGTATTACCTTTCTAAAACCAGAAATATTCGGAATAGAAAACACAAACAGCTGGTACAGGTCAAAGTAATATTCATAAATATATTTCCTAGCACTGACCACTGAGAACCCAGTGCAAGAGGTCACTAGCAGCTAGCACAGTTTTGGACCTAGTTCTCAGCTGTAAATACTACCAGTTTCTAGTACAAGGACCCAGGGCTCTCTGGAGAAGCGGCTGACTGCAATCCCTACCAAGATGAACCTGGTCATGCCAGAAAGTAAGGAAATGCTCAAAGAATGTCAAGATAGGTGTGCCAAAAGAACACAGGAGTCCACCTGCAGTAGATACTCATGGCCACAACTGGGACACTCAGCAACAAAACAAATGCTAGTAATACCATGAGCAGGTACTAAACATAATCTAAGGGGCATACACCTCTGAGTACACATTGATGCAGGGAAGGCACAGGTGAGGGGGGAGGAAGAGCTCTTCTCTGTGAAGAACTCTAATTCATTAACACCTAAGGGACTAACAATCACCAGAAGAATACCATGGTAATTACCACAATACCACAGGCATTTACCACCAAGATTTCAATCTGTGGAAAACTTAATAAGAAACAGGGTATTTGTAGTACATGGTAAAGGGTTAGCCTCCTTGAGCTCCTGGGAGGTGACTAAGGCCCTAGAATGTCATGTCTGTAAGAATGTTCTTAGTTCCCTGGGTTTGGGCCATTTCAGAGAGCGAACACCAACAGTGTGATTAGAGTGAAGTCCTGGGTCACATAGTGCCTGCCTGACCCGTGGAGGGGCTGGTCCCACACAGCTGGGTCCCAGTGAGCACTGGGGATGGCATGCTTCTGGTGAGCTCCCCGGTCAGCAATGCTGTATGTTGTCAAGTGCTGGAAAAAGTCTACCCTGCCTCATCACATATAACCTCTCACGGACCCTGCTCTTGGTCTCATGCCGAGCCAGTTAGTCTGTCCTTTCACTGCATTAAACTATGAGCCTAAGAGTTTTTCCTGTACTGTGAATTACAGAGAATGATGGGTACACTTGGGGGCACACAACTGCAAAGTACCTACCTCAAGTTAAATATTTACGACTACAAGGAGAAAAATGGGATGTTTATAGTGTAGAAAGCTGGCCAACACCGCCTTTGCCAGCAATTTGTGTCAACATACCCGCCTCTGGCACAAGGCAGGAAGGAGGGCACCCCACCTTCAACTCTTAACAGACCTCAGTATAAACACAAGAAAACTTTAGGAAATGCATACAGAGGGACAGTCTGCAGAGTGAGGAACCATCCTCTTCAAAAGCATCATGGTAGGCAAGGGAGGGCTGAAGCCCCGACAAAGACTTGGAACCTGGGAAACCTGACAGCAGAGATCAACAGGGAGCCTGGTCCAGCCTGGGCAGAGAAGAGCCCCAGTGGACACCTAGTGAGTAAATCAAGTCCCTCAACCCCAAGGACTGTGACAGTACAAGCTGTCAGTTAACAGAATGTCCAGGACTATGGAAGATGCTGCCACAAGTGGAGTCTAGGTTATGAGTAGCACATCTGTGACAGAGGTGTGACAACACACATGGAATACTGCTATCTAAGGCAGCGAGTTTTCTGCCAAGTCTGAAATTATACTACGTGTTGGGGGGAAATATAGTTGGCCCCAAGGACTTCTTAAAGAGAGCCCCTCTTGGATGGTCATAGGATTTCAAGAACACTTTTCTCGGAGGACATGTGAGTATACAAGGTAAGCCTCTGCCCTTGTGGGGACATTTTCTTACTGTCTTTACACACAAAGTCTGAGTGCCTTGCAGAAGCCACAATATTATTTCCCTTAAAAGCCTATAAAATGTTTGGAACAATTAGTGCCTGAGAGCGTTTTGATGGTCATGAAAGATGCTCAGAAACCAAGTCTCACTGGGACCTGCCAGACTCAAGCATCCAGATTTTTTTGTATGAACTATACCTCAGGGTAACAGACTGAGAAGCTGCTCTGTAGACAAGTACCTCGCTAAACAATGAAAGGAGTGACAGAATCCATACCACCATCTCTGCAGACCCTAAGGAACAGCTGGGCTCTTTCAGCACCATGTCTAAGAATTTTACCAATTGCCTGCACCCCAAAAGAATCAATCAGATCAGGACTCAAGATGCAAGTACAGATTTATGGGAAACACGTAACAATGAGAGGAACTGCCTACTACGCCAGTGAGGCAAGCAAGAGCCATCTAGCACACCCAACAGGCCAGCCCACCAGCCTTCATCAAATGTGGGAGAGTCAAAGAGAGGAACCTAGGGAAGGGCAGCCACCCAAGCACAGCCCCTGAAGCCTCTGCCCTGACTCCTCAATGGTCTAATGCCAACAGGTATAAGAAGCATTTATGGTTGGGTATGGTGGCCACATGCCTTTAATCCCATCACTCATGAGGCAGAGGCAGGAAGCTCTCTGTCAGATAGAGGCCAGCCTGGTCTACAGAGTGAATTCCATGCTACCTGGGGTTACAGGGAGACCCTGTCTCAAGAAAGAAACATTTATGGCATTTGAGAAAATAGAAAACCCAAATATTTGTTAGACACTGGTATTAAGGAAACACTGTCAATTTTAAATGAAGTGATAATGTGTGGCTATAATTTTTTTAAATGTCCTTAATTTTAAGAAGATAATACTGAGAGCCATAACTGAGTGACTGTCTCTATGGTATCACCCGACACGATGAATAGAGCACTTTCTACCTCAATGTTTGCAGTGCTCCCTTTCCTTCAAGTCCACAATTATCTACTAGCTCCAGTGAAGGCATCTGGCTTCCCTCATGAACTCTGCTTAGTATGTGGTCAATTTTTTCTACAGACTTCCACTGCCCCTTTCTTCTGTTTTCCGGAGAGTTCTACACTGGCCTCTTGAACCACAGAGGCATCCTTCCTAAGTCATAAGCACAACTCTCCTAATAAGAAAGTATTTGCTTAAAGAAAACCAATTAACAGAAAAGTTATTTTAAATAAGAAGCTATGATATTAATAACAGAAAGAAAACTGCATCCTTGATCCTACAAACACATTTAAAAATAAACCTTAAATATAAAAGATAAATGGAGTACACAAATAAGGAAAGAATTCTATGTTAAAAAAGGATTTATTAACTTCCTTTAAGTACTGTATCCTATGATTCCATGTTCAGAAGGCATGGCACACAAAGACCATAAATTACCATGTCTTAATTGGTCTGTGTGTTTTTGCTTCTTTTTAATCCAAGGTGAGTTGCTGATTATTAGAGATTTCAGTCTAATTAAATCAGAGGCTACTGTGTGCAGGCTGGGTCCACACACTGCTGCCCTTACAGACAGTAGCAGACCCACCCAGGGCTCCACACTGTGGGGTTGGGGCTGGCAGCCATTCATAGGCCACCTTCTGCTTTCTTGACTCCTGGCCTGCTCTGCCCATCTACTCAACAGCCAGCTTTCCAGGGAACTGACACTATTCTGGTGTTCTGTTGTTTTTTTTTTTTTTTCCCCCCAGACAGTTTTTCCCTATAGCCCCAGCTGGCCTAGAACTTGCTATGTACAATAGCCTGGCCTTGATCTCACAGAGATCTGCCTTCCTCTGCCTCCCAAGTGCTGGTATTAAGGCCATGTGCCCATACACCAGCAATGAACACTGTCTGAACCTGACTTTTCCAGGGTCTTTTTAGATCAGCAAAGCATGCTCAAACATGCTGGGACTTAGTTACTATCTGTTTTTTAAGATCACAGAAAACTAAGGAATTGATAAAAGGGCATTTTAAACATAAAAGACAAAGAACACAGAAGCATCTGTTCTGTGTGCTTCCTCTGCCCGTGGCTGTGACACAAGAGACGTCAGCCTCTTGTGCACTGGCACTGCAGCACACTCGGCCTCACCTGCATCGCTCCCAGTTCCTTTCTGCTTTATTTTCTTGACTAGTTGAATGGCCCGGTAATCAGTTCTTGCTGAGCCCCCACTTTCCTGGGACCAAAGAAAAGTGTGTCAGTCGCTTGGTCTAAATAGCAAAGAAAGGTAGCAAGGAACTACAGAAGCCCTAGATCTGCTTCTGGAATGCCTCAGAGAGCAGTGAGCTCGCCAGTCTCCAACAAAGACACACAGGAAACTGCACGCTCCAGTGAGCATAGAGAAGGACAATGTACATACTTCATTATCTGGAGAAGCAAAGTTCATTCCGACAGTCTAAATGTACTAAGTATTTTACTCAGAGCCTGTTATGTGTTACATACCTCCTGGTTCCTAAAACACCCAGCCTTTCCCCATGCCAGTGTTATATCACAGCAAACATGGGTAGGGCTGACAGCAAGCATCACGCCAAGACATATACCAAAACAGGAAGTATGTCACTGAACTTAGCAAGCTTACTGACAGCCAGGGAAATAGTATTTAAACAGGAAATGTGCACATTTATGAACATTTTATAAGAAAAAGTTTCATACCTAAAACTATGAAGAGGAAAGGAAAGCAGCCTTCTACAGCTCACAGCACACTGAAAACAGCTCACAGCACACCAAAACCCATTCACCACACACCATTAGCACTGAGCAGTGAGGGAGTCCAACACCACACAGTAGCAAGAAAATGAACAAGGCTCTCACTGGCTCCTCCACCTCTGCCTACAGGTAGGCTCTGGAGATGGAGCAAGGCAAGGAGCACCAGGGAACCGATTTCCTACTGGCTCTGACCTGTGGCTACTTCCAATTCCTGTTCAGTCATCTGTTGCTCTTAGCAACTGCTATGGTAGCTGAAGCAAACTCTGGAAAGCCCAGCTTTGCCACCAAGTCAGACACCAGAAATGGAGACAGACTGGGCTTCCCCCATATTGAGAAATGCGAGTTGGCTCCAGTGAGAGGAGGCCTTCATACTTGATCCCAATTCAGAAGATTTAGTACCTTAGGCTGTAGTAAAATATGACATATGATTTTGAACATGATAAATGTCAAAACTAAAATTTAACCTGTGCCACAAGAAAGAAACATATAATCACTCTCATCATAGATTGAGGGAAGTCAGACTCTAAGAATCTTTAAGTTACTTTAGATTATATTAAAGATATAATTGATATAAAATACAATAACTGTCCAGCCTCAAAACTGGAAAAGTATCTTTATAATCCTTCAAGAATGAAGACTTATAAACCACTGTTTAGTTCTCATTAAAAAAGAGATCTTTTAGCATGGTTTTAAAGTTTCCATTAACCTTATTTAAAGATAATTTATGCTGTCATTCCTCTTCTAAAGACTTGTCATTACGTGAAAAGCACGAAGACAAAAAATTTCAATAGTATGAAATGCCTCAAGTTTTCTCAAGGTGGGAAAAAAAGCCCCCCCAAAACTGCCAAAAAATCACAGAACTCAAAAGAACCTTAGAAATCATGTAGCAAAATCCCCTTGTTTTAGAAATGACTGAGACTTAAGGCTCAGATAAGTGATTTGCCCAATGTTGTAAAAACAGCAATTCCAGACTCAAGATCAGATTCAGACTTCCAGACTATAGCCCAGGGTTCCATCTGTCCACTTGCAAACCAGAAAGAACTGTCTGCATAGAAAGGATTAATCCCAAGCATCCTCCAAGCTGAGTTAAGGGAAGTGAGTTAGTGGTGGTGACTGAATAGAACGCTTCATACCAAGTAGAGGTTGCCGGCACTGAGCTCTGAGTCCTTCTGAGTCCCGGGCCTCTCAGCAGGGCTGGACAGCACCGACTGGGGTAGCCCTTGGCTTTCTTCTTGCCCCTGGACCACATCTGGGATAGGAGGCAAGTCTTGTTCTACCTTGATTGGAGCCAGCAGTTCTGAGACACTGGTGGGTTCTTGGGAGGTGCTTGAGGAGGTTAGTGTAGTGTCAGGTACTGTGGTGTCAGGTGCTGTGAAATTACTGCTGGGGGTCAAGGCAGGGGGGTCTTGACCCAAGTTCCTCACTGGCAGAGCCACCAGACAGTCTACTGTTCCTGAGCTCATGGCCTGCGTATCATCTGCACTGAAGCTGCCTTGCTGCAGGACTGCAGCTGATGTCCCGAGAACAAGAGGCCCATCTAAACTTGGAGGAATATCACCATGGGCCACTAGAACCAGGGGGTCCATGGGCCCTAAGGAGTTATTAGCAGGGAGGTTCCCTCCCAGAGAGGAGCTCACAGAAGTGACGTCAATGGTCAGGATCCCAGAATTCAGTGTTTCATCTGATCCACCTGTCGAACTGCTACTGTTGGCAGGTGTCTCAGAGAAGAGTGCTGCTAGATCTATGTTGGTGAGCTCGCTTTGGCCTGGGCTACTCAGTTCACTGCTGGGTGTGAGAGAACTTGGAGCTTCCAATTGAGGTACCAGATCTGCAAAAGCAATGGATATTCTAGTTATGATCTTGTAAGACTAAGAAATCTTCCTTCTGCTCAAGATGTTGCAGGCAACCCCTTGAAGCAACATATCCTTTTGCTGGACCCTGCTGCTGGGTCACACACACTGGGACTCACTGCTGCACAAGGTGAACAACAGACACCAAAGGAAGGGATGGTGTGATGACAGACATCTAGATCTCAAGTCCTCAAGCTGTCCTGCTTCAAACCCTGCCCTTTCTTCTATGCTCTGGGCAGATGCATGTAACTCAAGACACTGGGTCTGACAGGTGCTCTGAAGACATGTTCTCCCACACTTACTGCAGCTTCCCAACTGCCCTAGTGCCTAAAGCATGGGAAGGGGCTCTCTGATGCTGTTTCTCCCACATTGACTATTTGCTAACCATGAATTCATACTTTCTAAGGATGAAGGCCAGGTCAGAGTACACACTGCACTTTTAACAATCGTATGAAAGAGATCTAGACAAAAGGCAAAAAAAAAAAAAAAAAAAAAAAAAAAAAAAAAAAAAAAAAAAAAAAAAAAAAAAAAAAAAAACCAGAAGACCAAGTTCAGACTCTAACTTTAGTTGTCACATCACAAGTTTCTTCAAAAAATATCTTAGTACCAAGGAAACATTCTGAAAGGAAATGGAAGTGGTTCTTTTTAGAAGCTGAAATTGGGAAACTATTACTTTTTCAAAATTAAAAATCATTGTGAGGATTTTGCTCCTTGTGGAAAGAGTGACTGTAGTGTGAACAGATACCATTTTTTTTTTTCTAAATCTCCTTTTTAGCAAGTTAATTCCACAAACATCAACTGAAGAAACTGGTGTGAATGGATACACGTGAATAAAACTACCAACTAAATGTGCACACATAGCACAGATGCTAAGGATCAGGGCTCTGGAAGGTGAACAACCTCAGTTCGGATCCTGACTGGTGCACTTCCTATCAGTGCGACCTTGGCAAGTCTTTCTGCATATTGAGCAGTGGCAGGACCACTGTGAGGGTGGAACACAAGCTAACAGTCATTAGATGTCCCCAAGGATCCTCTACTCCTGACAATGGGCAGGAGGAATGACATAGAAGTCAGTCAGTACACCATAAACATGAGCTTGCTAAGCGGGCCTCACACCTAGCTGGAGTGAGGAAACTCTTAAGTAACCTGAATTAGCTAACTTAGGAAAGGGGAGATGCAGTCTAAGAGAGAATGAGAGACCTGTGTGCTGTGGCATCATACAGCACCAGCTCAGAGCTGGAGAGAGGCAGTGGCTAAGCCTTTGGGAGCAAAGGTCATACCCTCTGGCATGCAGTAAGAAACAGACTCTTGCTTGTCCTTAAGACCCTTGCCAGGCTAGCAGCAGGGTAACAATGTGATGTGAGTGATCAGAGTGACTGAGATCCAAAGGCTAGGCTGAGTAACCACTTCTCACAAGAACAGAAGAAAGCAGAAGAAAAACACAAACTGTTACTAGCTCCAATTGCTTAGAGCTCTGGCTAGGCACCTGAACCAAGTGTTTCACTCCAAGAGTAACTCATATAATCTTCCATCTTTTCAAAGTTGAGGGAAACAGGGCTTGAAGATCTGTATCCTGCCCTGGATCCCAACTGGAAAGAATGTATATCCCAGGGATAGGGATCTTCTGTCACCATGGTGCTGCCTATCTCACAGGACATTGAGGGGGAACCGGTTAGAAACACAAATAGCCTCCACAAACTCACCTTAAGATGAGCAGAGCCCACCATGCCCCAGATAGAAGTGGCCCCGTGAGGGCTCTAGGAGAGGGGGTGACCACTACTGCTACCCCTACTCCTGCCCATATGAGTGGGGACAAGGCCCAGAGGGGCAGGTTTCTAAGTGCTGTGCCATAGATGTCAAATGACAGGCTCTCACACGCTCATCCATCCTTCCACATGCCCTAGACCACTGTCATGGTACCTCTCTTGCCCCAGCTCTTTCCTGAGACACAACTCTGCTCTGGGCTTAGGGGGCTTCCTGTCCCCTGCAGAAAGCAGCCTTCTGTGTAGGATCCACTAACCCACAGGACCAGGAGGACACCAGCTTAAGTACTCAGGAGCCATGTGACATGGCATGATAAACAGATGCAGAGGATACAGATGTAGGGCAAAGGGTCATGTGGGAAGCAGGTCTAGAGCATGTGTGCTAGGGGAGGCCTGCAAAGTAAAAGCTGAATTTGAAGGGAAATACTTAAAAGCAAGGCAGGGACAAAAGGGCCAGAGGCAAGAAGAAAGTGGCAGAACAAAGTGAAGAGGCCATAGGGCTACATGGTGACCAAAAGCTCTGACTTCCTGGTTTACACACAACTGAGAGATAAGAAGGAGCAGCAGCATCTCTTTGCAGCTCAAGCACACATCTTTGCAGCTGTCAGGGACCTCAATTGCAGACCTTGGCGCCGGCTGTGCTGCCGCACCATGTGTGCCTTCATGCTGTGCTTGGACGTGAAGAGTCTGTTGCAGCTGGACACTGGGCAGCGGCTTTTCGGAGCACCCACGTCCTGCAAATGCTTCTTAGAGTGAATGTACAGACTGCTGCGAGCCGAGAACCTGGCACAGCACCCTGAAACACAGAAGGGACCCAGAGTTACATCTGAGGTTGATAACGGCATTTCCTAAGCACATCAGAATCACAATACAATGGTAAGACTCTCAGGTGTACCTGATTTCTGGAACCCACGACAAGGTGGAAGGAGAGAACCAACTCCACCAAGTTGTCCTTTGACTTCCACACATGCACTGTGGTATGCTGTACCACATTCTCCCATGTACACACACAAAATAAATAATAATTAAGAATCATGGCACTATGCTCCCAAGTACTGGACACTGACAAGGGACAGATAACAAATATGCCTAGGAGAGCACCAAAAGGGATGCAGTAAAAATAATAAGGAAATCACAGACATGTGACTTGGCCAAGCTCACTTTGTCAGTTTTTTCCTCGCTGCTCAGGGTTGGGAAAATGAAGTAAATTCCTCCAATTTACGTTCAGTTGCAAAAATATATTCTAATCACCCCAGTTAAGCTGCTACCATGAAACTACTATAATCCTATGACACTACAAGCTGGACCTATCTCCATGCATTTCCAAGGCCAACTTTTTTCCACTTTATCATTGCATAGCTTATGCTCAGAAAATGAAAAGTATCCCTAGACCACAGGTACAAGTGCAGCCAGAACATTCCCTAGTGTACACCTCAGATCTCCATGCAAGTGCTGAGGGAACACAGAAGTTTACAGCTGTCATCTTCATGCCCTGGACAGACCCAGAAAGAGGAGGTGGAGTTCTTGCAGCTGGAGGCTGGTGCAAACTGGTAGAACATGTAGGTAATGAGCTGTGGGAACAAAGCCAGTGCTGCAACAATGAGCACTCGAGAGGCAGAGGAAACAGCACAGCTCTAAGAGGAATACACAGAGGTCTCATGAGCAAAGGGCAGTAGGTGACCTGCCCTGGTGAGTAACAGGGACAGTTCTTGGAAAAGCAGAAGGGGGTTCAGGCGGAGGGAGCTACCCAGCTAAGGTATAAGTGTCTTCCCTCTGACTCTGGCTCAGCTCTACTAGCTGTGTGGTCACAGGTAAGCTTTTGATCCTTTGCAGAGCTCTTTTTTGTCTGTATGCTTGGGAGGCAGAGGCAATACACACCTACAGACCTTGACCTAAAAAGAAGTTTGAAGCTTTCTGTGAGTATGGAGTGAGTTCCAAACTGCAAAGGCAGCCAGAGCCCTTCCTCAGGTGGTTCTTAAAAAAGCCATTTCCATACCCTGGGAGCTGGCAGCTCTGTTCACATCTCTAAGGATGTGCCCAAAGTCACTCTCAACAGAGGGCCTGGCTTTTCTCGGTCCACTGCAGAAGGGGTTCTGGAGTCTCTGTACCAGGCTCCCCAACTCTACCTCCACTGTCTTGTGCATCTTGACCAAGACATGCCACTCACCTCTCCCAAGTCATCATCAGCCTCTACTGGCACCTCATTATCCTGACTGCTTAAAGCCCTTTGAGAACTTTGTAAAAACAAATGCTCTCTCCTCTTCAGTGAGCTCTTCACTCCCAGATGAACTAATAGCACAAGCAGTTTCCTGTCTTCCATTCAGCAGAGCTCTGAGTCACTACCAAAACTCGCCCAACACTAATGACCCTAGTGGGCCTTAGCATCCTGAGCTGACACTTCACAGACATCCTTCTGGCTCAGTATACTCTCTTCAGGACTCCTTCCAGGGGACCCTTTCCATTGTTCTACCACCATCTGTGGCTGTCCACCAAGGCTGTCCTAGACTTAAAAAACAAAACCAAAATCTAACAGCAATCATCAAAACAATTGTAAGTGACAAATGCTGATGCTTTCATAAGCTTTCAACTTCTCAACCAGCTGAATCTTTGCAAAAACCCTGAGGTTTTCTTTACAGATGAGAAAAAAAGGTACAGAGCTTAAGCTCCTCATCCTGGGCCTCAGAGCTATTTATGTGGCAGACTTAGGACTGGAATCCAGAATTCATACTTTCAGTCACTTCTTGAAAATTCCATCTACTTCCAGAGCTTAAATGAGGACTTGGGTGGGGCCTGCCTCACTCCTAGTTCACAGTTCTTTAAGCCAGCAGCACACACACAGCCTGCCTTCTGAGTACTTTTAAGTTAAGCTGGAGGTACATTTTTACCATACAACCAAACTCTTCTTCTCTGAAACCATCTCCCTCAACCCCAATTCAGCTGAGATACTGACCTCAACTTCACCTTCATCCCTTATCCAGGTCCAAACTGTCACCGCATGCTTTGATTTCTAATTCTGTTGTTGATATTGCTGCCTGCTTTGATCTTTAACTCTGTTGATGTCACTCTGCTTTGACTTCTAATTCTGCTGACGTCACTGCCTACTTTGACTTATAACTCTGATTTTTGATGGACTTCTCTTTCCTTTTTACTGCCAGCCCCAGCCCAGGAGCAACCATCTCCCCAGGATGACTCTCCACAGGCCAGACTGAGCCATGGCTCCAATACAAGCTGTTCTTATACCTTTGTGAGATTCTCCCTGCTGGCCTTTCAGCTTCCAACACTCATCTCCACACATCTGGCTAACTCTTTCCCCTTAAGTTGACCAGAACACTATGGATGAACCTCTGGTACCCCATAGCAGCCTGCATGCTCTTGTTTTCCTGTCCACACCTACAACTGGAATGCTGATGGGAGGGGGAGCTGTGCTCAGACACACCATCTGTATTATGTTCAGTATAGTCTTAAGAACTGGTCTTGGCTTTAGGTGGGTCTTTGTTATCCCCCTCTCTGACTAAGGCAACTGAAGTCCACTGATGCAGCTAAGGCCACCAATTTAGGGCCCATCTGACTCACTCTGGGCTGTTTCCTTAGTGGACCTGAAGCTACAATTAGTGCCATTATGGATGGGCCACACAAATTTTTGGCAAAGAAACTATGCCTTTAGCATTAAAAAAAAATCCTCACTAATACCCCTTTAGAAAGTCAGATAGGCTTTATTGCTGTCCAGATGCAACAAGACTAGCTACCTCCTATTTAGTGAGCCCAAGCCATGTGGCAAATCACATGTAAGGAAGCAGTCTTCTCATAACTTCACCCATAACCACCACGTTATACAGGTAGCGGAACTAGAGCCACAGACTGACTAGCAGAGTATTGCTATTTCCAATATACCCTTACGACAGTATGCACAAACCACCAAATGAATATAATGCTGCAACCAACAATTACCTTAGTGTTTATGCAACAGACACTTAACAGCGTAACAGGAATGTTGGTGTGGTACTTAGTCTACAGCCCAGTACAATGTTTTAAACAGTACCTTCCACAGGGCACTCAAACGGTTTTGTGCCCAGGTGGGTGATGCTGTGGCCTTTCAGATGCTCTGCTCTGGTGAACGATTTGCCACAGCCTTCCACAGGGCAGGTAAACCTCCGGTCATCGTCATGTTTCCTGCAATGAAAACAAGAGGGTATCCATAGGCATAAGGCCTTAGGGGTGAGAGTCCTGCAACACACAGACTATAAGCTCCTTCCATTTAAAAGAATGATCAGTGCATTTCAGAAAGTCCAATGAGGTTTGTGATTTTAGTTACCCCATGATCAGAAATTCTACTTTAATGACTAAGGTGGCTCCAGAGCCAGACACAGAACAGTTAGTACAAAAACCTAAGAGAAGAGTCCCAAGTGAATTATGAAGCTATTTCTATTGTTTAGAAATCTCTACTGCCAACAAGCTTTCCAAGCCACAGGAGGCCATGAGAAGTGTACACAGAGGATGGCAACAATTTGAAAGGACCCACTTTTAAGACTGGCTCTTCCTAGGTAATGCTTTTATACCAGGCACCCTCAGACCCCAGCTATGCAAACACAGACAAGCCACTCATCCTCTCTGAGTCTCACTGTAGAACATCAGTGTCAAGAGTTTTCACAAAGATGGGATGAGACAAAGTGCTGAACATCCCCAGGACAGGGGGCTCTGAAGCTGTCATTATTACCAAAAATTTGAAGAAAGCTGTTTCTACAATGTTTAAAAGGGGGAAAAAAAAGGAACTGTATTTAAGTATTCTACATAAACCAAGCATATACACAGGAAAGTAATGGCTGTCAAAAGATGAGACTGAATGATGTTACAGTTTTCTGATGTGGTAAGATGTCTATACTAAGTTCCTTTTTAAATAACTGGGAAGAAAAAAATCTATAGGAAATTTACTTGTAGTTTTCTGTTGACACATAATTCACGTATTTTCAGAGTTAACTACATACCAAAATGTAAGGGTTACCTTTTGTGCCTTAGAAGTTTAGACATGCTGGTGAAGGTCCAGCCACAGCTGTCTGAGTCACAAATAAACGGTCTTTCACCTTGTAAAAGAAAAAGTTACACAGCGTAAGTGTGAATGCAATGGCCACCTCAGGACAAAGCTTGGGTCCACTGGTGCGTCTGCTAGATCATTACCTGTATGACTTCGCAGGTGAATTTTCAGTCGGCAGGCTTTGTCATATTGTTTATTGCATCCAGGAAAGGAGCAAGAAAAGAGCTCTTGTTCCCTGAAGTGGGCTCGGTTATGGGAAAACAGGGCACTCACTGTGATGAATGTCTTCTCACAGCCTGAATGAAGAAAATACAAGCTCAGCTCAAAGGATGACAAAAATCACACAGTGCAGCTAATGCTGTCCATACCCCTATGACATGCTCACAATGAAGCAGATAAGGAAAGACAAGACTCTAAAGCCATCTCTGCAAAGCCCTGTCCATGAATATTTAGCTTTCCAATAGCTCGAGCAAGGGTGGCAGATGGTAGCCCACAGGCACACACAGGACACTTGTTGTAATGTGACTTGGAATTGGAGCAAGTGATGGAGGATGTCCTCCCATCACAGTCAGCCAGTTCTAGAGCACCAATCCTGCATGTACTAGGTGCATCTTCCACAAGCTCAAATGACAGTGCTGTTTGAGTGAGACCCAAGAAAACACCAAGAAGAATTAAATACTAACAAACATGATTTTGTCTGGTACAGCTTAGCTTTGCAGGGCTGCAAGCCAACCTGCTAAGATTTTTTCCATTCCACTGGGGTGATAGAGCACCTACCACTTTTCAGTTTCCTCCCACAGCCCCTGCAACTTGCAGCCCCACACCATCATCCTCTTCTTTTGTCCATTTCTTCAGGCTCCTGCTCTGTCATATTCCCCTTCATCCTCAGAGTCTCTCCCTACCCAGCTGTTCCATCACCCCAAGCAACCTATACCTCAGCAATTCCCAGAAGAACACTTCTCCTTTGACAAAAATGTAAGGTATTCAAACAGGGTGGAAAAGAGAAGCTGAAAGATAGTAACAGTTACCTTTGTTGCACCTCTTCTCAGAGCCTTTAACATGCCATCCTTGTGTCTGTGAAACATTACACAGCTCTGCATAAAGGTATCAGACTGGGGGATCTGTCCTGTTCCACCCTAAAGTCCTCTCTTTGGCTTCAATCTGTCTCCTTTGCCTACTTAGGGTTTTGCAGTGTTCCCCTAATTACTCAGGTGACTCTGAACACTGGCATTTTCCCTTAGCAATAGCTCTTTATACCCACAGCCTAAAACCTTGCTTTTACCTTACCTCTGTAATCACCTGAAGTCCTTCACCAGTCTCACTACCACTTCTTGGCTCACACGATCAAAAAACCCTCATTAGTGGGACGCTTAATGGTGCTTCCCTGGTCCTCTCACAGCTTCTATGGTGATCCTTTACTAGGGTGGGGCCTGAAGCCATACTTCTCACAATCAGTGAATGGCTGAAGGTTTTCAATCAGTGGCCTGATGCTCCCCACACAGGACTGTAGGCACAGTCAACAGGCACATAATAAGAAAATACTGGAATCTGTTCCTATTTCCCAAATCCTAGTTTGGATATACTTTACAATGTAGATGTTATTAGGAAAGCAGTATGAGTACATATGTTAATGTGCATGCGAGGTGCTGGCTCTCAGTTTGCTTTAATGAACAGGACAGGTAGGGCCCTCCATCCAGCACACTGTCCTCCCAGACCCTCCCTACAGCCCACATTCCCTCCTGGCTCTACCGTTCATTTATTCTCCTACTCAGGCTTCTGACTTGCCAGACAGGAATGTCCTCTAGCTCCTGTGCAGGAACTTTATCCTTAAATGTGCCTACCCTGGTCAACAGCTGCCAGCTGCTACAGTAAACACAGCAGGGAAAGCAGCACCAGTGAGGTGGATTTTATATCCATTGCTCTACCCCAGGAGGTTCATGAGTACATGAAGATAGGTTCTAAGCTTAACAAAAGGCTAACTTTTAAAACTCCTCCAAACTGAGAAGTCTAACAAAAAAAAAAAAAGTGTAAGACACACAAAAATAGATGTGCCACACATCTGATGGTGGCTCCGCACCTCACCCTGGAAAAGAAACATCATTCTATGGTAATACTAGGAGGGGCAGAGGCTAATAATTTTAACCGGGAGGGCTATATGTCAGCTAGGGGAGAGACAATGTGTGGTCATCCCCTCAATGTGTTGAGGTGTTGTATTTGGCCTCAAAATATCTTGGATCACGGACCCATCAATGTGTCATACAATAATATTCCTAAATGAAGACTGACAAAAATAAAGACCTGATCCAATGCAACTCTCGGTGAAGACTGGTTATCACTTCCAATAAACAAATGGAAGCATCTTAACAGAGACCTGTATCTCCTGCCCCCCCCTACAAGGATGGCTGTGACCATGCGTGCCACCTCGCTGTAAAACCCGACTTCACACCTAACCACTTGGAAGAAAGTGAAACACAAACACCAGAGGGCTTCTCAGCTCGCCTCTCTCTTAGATCAGGGTGTCCTCTCTGAACTCGGCTCAAAGAGCGAGACAGGAGGCACCGCCCCTTGGCAGTGAGGTCGCCACCCGCGGTCCCGCCCGCCCCCCGCAGGCCCGCGGCGCGCTCACCGGGGAAATCACACTTGTAGGGGCGCTCGGGCTCGAAGTGACTGCGCTGGTGGGAGTTGAGCTTGGCGTGCGTGGGGAAGCGCTCGGCGCACACCTCGCACTTGAACAGGCTCTCCTGCTCGTGGCCCTTCATGTGGGCCTTGAGGTTGTACACGGTGGTGAACTTCTTGCCGCAGCCGCTCACCTGGCAGCCGAACGGCCGCAACTTGTCGTGCGACTGCAGGTGCCGCTTGAGCTTGTAGGATGTGGTGAAGGCCCATCCGCAGCCGTCTAGCGGACACTTGAAGGGCCGCCGGCCCTGCAGGCCGCCGTGCGTCAGCAGGTGCACCTTCAGCTGGTGCTTCTTGGCGAAGGTCAGCGCGCACTGCGGCTCGGGACAGCGGTAGCCCGGCGAGCTGGCGCTGGCCGTCACAGGCCCGCGGCGGGCCGCAGCAGCGCTCGAGGGTTCCGGGCCCGGGGTGGCCGCAGGGCGGAGGCCCTGAGCCGCGGGAGCGGCGGCCAGGGTGAATACACCGTGATCGAAGTGTACCAGCAGGTCCTGGTTGTTGATGGTGACGGTGCCCGCCAGAGCCGCGCCGGAGGAGGCGGCAAGGCTCTGCACGGGGTGGCCCGCGGGGCTCGAGTCGGAGCCGGGCTCGGCCTCCTGCTGCCCCGGGGCCTCCGCGGCGCGCGGCACCTCTAGCAGCACCACGAAGGCGTCGCCGCCGTCTTCTGGGGGCGACGGGCTGGGCCCTGCGGCCTCCTCCAGGCGCGGCCCGGGCCCGCCATCTTCCGGGCCCCTCAGCAGCAACAGGCGGCGGCGTCCCGGGCTGGCGCTGAGGGACATCCCCGCGCCGCGGCGAAGGCGACCCGGACCACTGCCATGCTGGCCTCCGCGCGCAGTCGGGGAGGCCAACACCGCCGGGAGGTCCATCTCGGGCCCAGGAGAGGCGTCGGAACCCCGGCCACAGGAGAAGAGCGGCCCAGCCCTCCCAGGCATGCGCGCTAGGCGGAGAATCCGCCCCCTGCGAGTCGCAGTCAAATCCTGGCGGGGAGTTAAGGCTCGGACTCCCGCGAGCTGCGCCTGCGCCAGAGCCGTGGGCGTGTCGCGCAGGGTCAGCCTGGACTGTAGTCACGGGGGCGGGGCGCCGCGGGGGCGGGGCGCCGCGGGGGCGGGGCGCCGCGGATAGTTCTTGACCAACCAACTCTCTGCTTTAGTTTGATTCCCTGTGAAAGAAGCTCCTCAGCCCTTGAGTGTTATTTTTGTATCTGGGTATGCAATGTTAATAGCACCTAAGGGGGTGACAGTGCCTTTGCAAATATAAGGCAGTCATAGATTATGATTAACTAGTGTGAGGAAAAGAAGTGTTTACTGGAGGACACACAGTCTGGAAACTGACAGCATTTGAACCTCTCCATTGTGCTGGTGGACACTCCTATGACCTCGCTGAAGTGCACATCCACCTGCCACTGGGCCAAAGCCCTCGCTTGCACTGTCCCAGGTTCTGACCCAGGTAAATTTCCTCGTTAGCTTGGCATAGTGTCTACCTGCTAGCGTTCTCATTGTTCCCTGGACTCTGCCTACCCCTCTTCTCCCATCCGAATTCATCTGGAGTCTCTCCATCCTCTCCTTCTGATCATCACTGTAATTTAAACCTGTATTTCACTCCTAGGTTGGTTCTCGGACAAATAACTAAGGAGCTGCTTCTCACCCTCCCTCCACCCTGCTGCCTCCCACCCAGTCTGTTCTCCACTCCACAGGCTATAGTCATCTGAAAGTGCAGATGCAATTAAAGTCTTGCCAACATGCCCTTTGTACCTACAGTGGTCTGCCCTCATTTCCCACCATTCTGCCCTTTAATCTGCCTTCCTACCTCCCCATTTGCCCAAAATAAATGGAAACCTGTCCACAACAAAACTATATGTCCATAGTAGCATTAGTTATAGTAGCCCCCAAAAGGAAACAACCCAGCATCAGATGAACAATTTATCTATACACTGGAATATTTTTGAGCCATACAAAGAATCAAAATAATGCATGTTACATCATGGCTGAACCTACTATGAGAAGTCAGTCACAAAAGAGCACATATAACAAAATGTCCATGAAATGTCCAGAAGAGCTAAGTACATACAGATAGATTAGTGGCTGTCTGTGGCTGGAGGCTGGAGGGAGTTGGGGAATTAGGACTATTAACATCAGTGGGGTCCTGGTGGAGTGAAGTGGGTTGGAATCAGAGGTGCTGGCTGTATAGCTGTTGTACAGGACTGTCCTTCCAGTCAGATGTCATCTTCCTGAGCTCAACTGGGCTTGTTGACTGTTGAGGCCTCCATATAGGGGCAGGGAGAGTCAAGAGACCCTCACCTGAGTATCCACCCATATCTTCCAACCAGTGCTGGGCAATTCATCCCTAATTGCACATAGCCTTGTGGAAGGACTGAAATATATAGGCTGGGAAGACTAATAAAGGGGAACAGCCACATTACTTACCCGTTGCTCTGAATGTAAGCCCAAGAAATTCATTGGTTTCCTAGAGTGCACGCTGATGGAACGTTTGTTGTTGGGACCAAGGGAAGAGGGAGTGAATATCGTTACATCACCCCCAGAGAAGAAATTTTAGCAACAACAGCAGAGCAAGTATTCAAAAACTGTTGACTGTAAACTTTAAAATGATGACCTTAAGTACATTTCCATTCAAATATGTTAACACAGAGCATTGTTTAGGAAGATTCTTATTCTAGCTTGTTTCTCCATTACTGTGACAAAACACCGACCAATACCAACTGGGGAGAAAAGGGTTTATTCAGTTAACCTCCCTTGGGTCACAGTAGGAACTCAGGGCAGGGACCTGGAGGCAGGAACTGGAGCACAGGCCATAGAGGGATGCTGCTCACTGGCTTGCTCCCCTCCCCCTGTTCAACCAGCTTTCTTATACAACATAGGCCCACCTACCCAGGGGTGGCACCACCCATAGTGGGCTGGGTCCTCCCACATCACTCGATAATCAAGAAGATGTCCCACAGACTTGGCCACAGGCCAGCCCAATGGAGGAAATTCACCAACCGAGGCTCTTTCTATCCAGGTGTGTCAGGTTGACAACTAAAGCTGTCCAGCACAATTATATTTGTTGTTTGTTTGTTTTGGGTCATTTTGAGACAGGGTCTCCCTGTAGTCCCAGCTGTCCTGGAACTCCCTATGTAGACTAGGTTGGCCTTGAACGCACAGAGATCTGCTTGTTTCTGCCTCCCAAGTGGAAGATTCTATTTGTAAGAAAGAACATTGCATGTGTGTCCATGTAATGTGTACTCTGAACATTTTTTTTCTAGAAAGATCCTTGTACCACTTCTGCAGAGGCATGGAGAAAAGGGCTCTGACTTCACCTTTGGTTCCCTTTGCCACTATTGTGTCTGTTTTATTATCATTTGTTGGTGGGTGTGCACATGCACATGTGGAGGCCTGAGGACAACTTTCAGGAGTCAGCTGTCTACCATGTACGTTCTGGAGATTGAACTCAGATCATCTCATCAAGAAGCGCTTTGCCTCCTCAGCCATCTTGGTGGCCCTTATTGGGTTTGTTTTAAATCGCAAGCAAGTATTTTAGAAATTAATTTCTATTTGTACTGCGTAGCTTCAGTTGTCACTTGAAACACCTGGGAAGAGGGAACCTCATTTGGGGAATTTCCTCTATTGGACTGGCCTGTGGGCATGCCTGTGAGGCATTTTCTTGACTGCTGTGAGTGGTGGCACTCCTGGGTGGTCCTGGATTGTATAAGAAAGCAGACTCAGCACAGGCCACAGGAAGGCCAGTAAGCAGTGTTCCTGTGTGGGTTGTGCCTCTAGGTTCCTATCCTGCATTGAGTTCCTGTCCTGACTTCCCTCTGTGATGGATTATGACCTGGGAATTATAAACTGAAATAAACCTGTCCCTCTCCAAGTTACTTTTAGTCAGAGAAGAAAACTAACTTATAAATCATTTTCCTACTATGGAAAATGTTTTGGTATTTCATAAAAAAATTAAACATAGAATTATATGATCCTGTAGTTACAGTTCTGGGTGTAGACCCAAATTAACTGAAAGCAGAGACTCAGGCAAACACTTGCACATGTGTTTATAGCAGCAGCATTCAAAACAGCCTACAAGTCCTTCAATGGCTGAATGGCTAAGCAAAATGTGATCCAGCCATGCAGTGGCAGTCTTACTCAGCCTTAGCAATGAAGGGTGTTCTGCCATGTGGATGAACCTGGAGGACATAACGCTGGGTAAGCCAGTCACAGAAGGGCAAGCACTGCATGACTCCACATCTGTGAGGTCCCTGGAACACTCGGATTCATAGAGAGCAGGCTGGTGGATGCCAGGACTGGGAGAGGGGACAGAGTCTCAGGAAGATGTCAAGGTCCCAGAGCTGAATGGTGGGGACAGCTGCTTGCCAAGCTTCACCTTGAAAAGTGGCTAGGATCGTAAATTTTATGTTTACATGTGTTTTGCCACAGTAAAAGGAAAAAAGTGTGTTGGAAAACAGTTGATAACATGTGGACATTAATTAGCCTCTTCTATTTTTTTGGCTTTTTTGAAGAGTGACTTAGGGGGCTGGAGAGATGGCTCAGTGGTTAAGAACACTGGCTGCTCTTGCAGAAGACCTGGGTTCGAATCCCAGCACCCACATGGCAACTAAGAACTGTTCGTAACTCTACTTTCAGGGGATCCAATGGCCTCTTCTGTCCTCCGTGGGCATTTCAAGACACAGGCACACATACATGCAAGCAATACATGCACACACATATAATAAAAATAATAAAATATTAGAAGAGTGACTTAGTAGTTTTTAGGACAACTTTCATTGGGTGGATTCAACCTCACAGGTTTGCAAGATTGGTCTTATCTGTCCTGCTCTGAGACTCCTTGTCCCAGGTCTCCCTCTACCTCCCACTTGACTTCACTGACTCCAAGGAACCTTGATTTTTTGAACTACTCCTTCTGTATTGGGGTCCTCAGGTCCTGGGGCTCCAGAAAGATCTGGGGAGCCCCTGCAGTTTTCAGACAGAGACTTGACATGCTGTCATTGCACTTTGCAAGGATCTCCCTGCGGGCAGTGTCTCCAAGGTAGAATTGGGCTGAGGATGGAGGGAGGAAAGGAGGCTGCATAGAGGCCATGGGGAGGAGTCTAAGCAAGACCAGCTTCACTGGCAGCAGAAGCTGTGGTAGGAGCAGGGCCCATTCTGCACTGTCCAGCATAAGCACAGCCTGAGCCTGCCTGTCCACACTACTGTCTTGGTGGATATATTTCACATCTGTTCACAAGATGAACTCATGTTTTTTTAATGCTTCCATGTGTGTTTAAGTGGCCACTACATTTTATTTTAGTTGTGTGTTTTGTGGTGTGTGTGTGTGTGTGTGTGTGTGTGTGTGTGTGCAAGCTAGGGATGAAACCCAGGGCCTTGTGCATGCCAAGCACACATTCTGCTACTAAGCTACCACCAGCCCCTTGTAATTGCTATGTTTTTATAAATGTGTTTCTAGGATTTAGGAAAAAAAACCCAAAAGAATAAGTTCTGCCTAAACCAGATATTTAATTGTAATTCTCATTGTACTTCAGGTATACTTATGAAATATGATTAAATTTACTTTAAATGAATTAAAATGCCAAAATTTAGAATTCAGTTTCCCAGTCACACTAGCCCCATCCATACTGGATATGCCATGTGGGGATTCTGGTAGAAAACAAGAGCCGGCAGCTTGTGTTGGCAGTTGGCCACTTATGCCCTTCACAGTGAGGGTCACAGAGTGGGGAAGGACTGGAGCTCCAAATATGGACGGTGCATGAGGTGGTAGGGATGCTGAGGGGGCCCATGCAATGCCAGCCCCTGTTTGACTCCCTGCTGTGGTACTGCGATTGAGAATTTAAAAAAACAAAAACAAAAAACAAAAACAAGGTCATCTCTCTGTAGAGAATAGGATATGGTGGCTCTGCTAGACAGAGTTGGAAATTGAGGCTCAGAGGCTTTGGCCTCTCACTGAGGATGTCTGGCCTCACAACTACTTCTTGATTTAAGAAAATTCATATTTTATGCAAGAAACACAGACCAAGATTCCAGGAAGCAGGTTTTGATTTGTGCTACAGCTCAGCCCTTGTGTAAAGGCTTATCTGAAAGTGTATTGGGAGGAGGTGGGACAGGTGAGGGAAAATAAACCTTTTTTCTTTTACTGCTAATTGCCTTGGGTATTTGATTATGGTAATATCAAGGACCTAAAGTGTCCTTTTCTATTTGTATCAGACTTAAATTTTTCTAGAGGCTCAGTGTCTCCTTAAGTCTAATTAACTGCAAAGGAAAGATCAGTGGTTACTCGGGACAGGGAAGTAGGACTCTTCCTCACCCCAGTCTCTCAGGCCTGCTCCCACAGCAGGGGTTCTAGTGTGTTCTGGATAGGGCGTCACTGGTGGACCCTTCATGCCATCCCTATGGCACCTGCTCTGCAGACGACAAAGAATTCTACTTGGTCCCACTCCAGTGTGAACCAAGCAGGGCAGACACCCCAGAGCAGCATAGCCTTCTCTGGAGCTAGGCTGTCAGGTGTCTTTCTCCCCCTCTTCTCTCGTCTACCTTTGTGTTTTCCTCTTAGCCCTGGCTCAGCTCAGGAAACAACAGGCCTGTGGTGGGCCAGAGGGCAGGCCTGGGTGAAAGTTGAAGGGGCCTGGGGCAACAGGGTCAGGGAAGTGGCAGGGGCCCTGAAAGGGAAGGGGTGTGAGTAAAAGTAGTGACGTCTTCAAGGTAAAGGCCTGGGGAAGCATGGCTATCCAATATTCTTTTACTCACTCTGGACCAGGGCAGGGGCTCAGTGCAAACCTAGCTGGGTTGCAGGGCCCCAGCCTCAGGTCAGTGCAGCTCCTGTAGGACACCAGCCCCAAACATGCTTCTGAAGACCTTGGGAGATGGCTTGTTCTGGTTTTCAGGCTCGCATGGCTGGCCAGGAAAGCACTCTCTTCTCTCCTCATGTCCAGGCACCTGACCACCTTGCCTGAGGCACTGTGCTGTTCACTCCCACCAGGCCAGGGATGAATTCCTATTCTTGCCTCTGCTTCATCCTTTATTTCCTGTACTCTCCTCCCTGGACTCCTCCACAGCAAGGGCCCGAGGTAGATCCTTTGCATACCCATGCCTGGAACTCTGATGACTAGGAAGTACTACAGATGAGCTGATAGCCAGAGGAGCAGTGTGGGGACAACTGTGGAAGGAGGCCAAGCAATGGGATGAGATGGGTCAAAGAGATCCTTGGAAGGCTGATGCCAGCTTGGCCAGCATTTGATGTTCCTTTCCACCCAAGCTGGAGTCCACTCCACACAGACTTAAGGATTTGCCCCCTGAACCTGCCCTGCCCTTCCAAGGCTCCCAGTCCAGTGTGTGGTCAGAAGCAAGCAGCTTCACCTCTCTGGGCTTCTGTGGCTCCCAGTGCAGGAGCCTTGTGGAGAGGACCCACTGGGAATGCCATGTGGGGGTGCAGTGGGGATGAGAGAGCACTGGGCTGGAAGGTGGGGGAGAAGGAAGAAGGGGGTAGAGAAGACCCTGGCCCTCTCAGGACTGCAGGGCCTGCTGTAGCACACATTCTTCTGCCACCTCATGGGGAAGTGTCACCACCAGGCTACTATCCTCCTGCATTGTCTGGCAGATGATTTCATAGGCCTTGGGGTTCCCAGACCAGCAACGCCGTGCCACCTGCAGAAGCCAGGCAGTTGGTGTCAATGTCACCAGGCTTTTCACATGGTGTCCTGGCTCCCAAACTGTGTGTCTTCCTCCACTGGGAGACCTTAGAGCCTCCTCTATATCTGCCCTGCTCAGACCCCTGCTCTCTTACCTGGAACGCATAACTCATTTACCCTCTTTTCAATCTGAAACCAGCTATTATCCCACCCACCCCCACCTCCACCTCTAAGAACAGCCTGCCATCTATAGAAGGCACCCCCGGTCAGAACAGCCTCATCCTCAGCACCTCTCCCCTCCACTCCCCTTCAGGATCCTCATCACTACCTACAGATCCCTCTCCAGCCTATTTCCTCCCTCTGTCCTGAATGATGGTTCCTCTGCACCCTGATGCCACCTATCATCCCCATGCCTCCCCCAGCCTATCTCCACAGTCAGCAGGGCCTCCTAGAAGGAATCCCCAGAGTGCCCTAACTCCCACTGTGTTAGGATGCAGACTCTTGCTGAAGTGTTGAAACTCTGCAGCTCCTGGTGAGAGGCCTGGCCAGACGCCCTTCCTATCTCCTCTCTAGGTCCAACCTCAGTTACCCAGTGCCACTTTCCCCACATCCTTTATACCCTTCTGCATTACATCCTGACCTCTGGACCTCTGGGCTGAAGTGCTTCCTGTCCTGGGTTGCCTGTGATGTGGTTTGGGAGAGGAATATACTTCCTTATTCCCTTCCTTGGGACTCTGTTACTACAAAGATGGGTCATAGTTGCAGAAATGAAGGTCAGTCTAGCTTAAGCACTGCACTCACTGATCACCTTCAAAGATGGTGGAAAGAGCTAGTGTAGCTGGGGTAGAGCATGTGCCTGGCATGGGCAAAGCCCACCCAGGACAGCAAAGATGAAAAACAAAACAAAGCATGGAAAGATGAACTTGAAAAGAGAGGCCTTAGGGGTGTTAGATTTAGGAGGGTGGAAAAAAGAAGGAGTTCAAAGTTTAGAAATAGGAGTTCAAGCCAGACCTACAACAGGCAAGGGATGTGCTCCCTGGATTCAGGAAGCCCAGCAAAGGGCGGATAGCCCTTTCTCAAGGAATGATTATTTACGATCAGAAGGGGGAGCAGTCTGGTCTTACATAGGAACTCTGCTGCACACAGATGCAAGAGTTAACTCTGTGCCAGGGTCTGGTGTTTTTGAGGGTCTCCTTTCTGAAGATTATTTCCTCAGGCAGGTGGGTGAGTTATCTATAGCCCTAAAGGAGGCAGGTAGGTTCCACAAACAGTCTCTCTCAGTCCAGGGAATGACCAGTTAATAAGGCTTGAGCAAGGTCAGGCTGCCAATTTAGGGCCAGTTAGCCACTCAAAAGAATTTATGCCTTTATGGCCTCCTCTAATGACACTTATGGTTCTCCTGAAATTTACAAACTCTATCAAGGGGTAAGGGAGCAGAGTGGCTAGCAAAGTGGTGGAGGGCAGTATGCCTGAAGCCCTGGGTTCCATCCCTATCCTCCAATCACTGGGGCCTCAACATCAGCACTGGGGGCTATGCAAGAAAAAAGACTGAATTCACCAGGGGCTACCTGAATGGACAGAGGTGGCAGGGAGACCCCCCACCCCCAGCAGAGTTTGGGAATGGTTGGGAGGGCTAGAGAGGGAGGATGAGCTCCTGACTGGGTTGGACCCTGCAGCCCAGACCTCTAGCCTAGACAGGCAAAGCCATGGAGGGGAGGGGATAGTGAGGAGCTGGGGGGCTCTGGAGGACTTACACCATTGGAGACATCCCAGCTGAGCATCATCTTGGCTTTCCGCTCCGCCTCTGGTGTCCCATCTAACACGAGGCCAAATCCCCCGTTGATCACCTCGCCCCTGTGAGAAGCAGAGGGTTCCCAGCTCACTCTCTGCACTGCCTTGCTTGGAGCCGGCAGACATGCATGGCTTTGATCATAAGCTTGAGAAGATGTCAGTGTTGGGGAAACCTTGTCACATCGGCCTCTGAAGCCCAGAGCCATGTGGGTAGGGGATCAGAGTGGCCACATCTTGGCTTCTCTGCTGATTATGCCTCTGAGCTGGTCCTGTCCACTTCATGTGCACCTTCAAGACCTTTTCTGTGTCACCTGTTTGGAACCTGTCTCCCCACCAGGCTGGGAGGAAACCTTCACCCTTCTCAGAGCACTATCCTAGGTCAGGGGTACATGCCTAGCATGTACAAAGCTCTGAATATAATTCGCAACACTGGGGAAGAATACACACGTATGCACGCGTGCACACACACACATTGCTGTCCTGTAATGGCAAAGAGGTTCTGTTACACTCAGTTCAGTTGTACTCCCGATTCTACCTTTTCTCGTTCTCCCCTGTTTCTTCTTATTTGCTTCAGGAACTCTTTTGAGTGTCCCATGCCGTGCCTCCCCTTGCCTGATCTAAAGGCTGAGTTCTTCTCTTCTTTTCAATAGCTCTTGTTTTCTAGCTCACACATCTCTGAGCACTGCTTCCACCATCTCCCCTGGGTTCTGGCATGTTTTGTTTTCTTTTGCTCTTGAATAGATATATTCAGATCTTAGGCACAGTTATATGATTCTGCTTTTTTGTGTGCTTGCCCTGTGGCTATTCTCCATTAACCTTGGGATAACCTTCTCCACTTTCCTCTGAGGTCGATATAAAGGTCACATAGCTGCCCTTGCAGCTTGGATGCAACCTTGGTCCCTGCTGTGTTTTCCCTCTCAGTCACACATACTAGAAACACCTTTAGTGTTGCTGTGGCCACCACTGCCTGCCACAAACACTGACTTCTGCCTCAGTCCTCCCTTGCAGCGATTCTGTTCCATCTTCTTACCCTTCAAGTGTGCATATGGTTTCCTATATCTCAGATCTTCATATACATTCAATTTTAGGTGCTTTTGTGCTTAGCTTGGACCATCAGTTAGGTTCTCACCAGGCAGTTGCTAGGGTACCCTTGTGCCTCTGGGAGCCTCCTGTATCCCCCATTTCCATGTACTGAGGATCCCCTGTGAATGGAACCAGTGCCACTGCTCTACCCTTAAGTTGTGCCCTCGATGACTAGTACAGTGCCTTTTGGTGAGGATGCTCCAAATGGGTCCCACATCATCACCTCTCACCTACTGGAGGCTGATCCCCTCCATCAGAGGGGACTTTGGGGATATCTATAGCTTTGTTTTGGGAGTCTGCATTTCAGAGGGTCAGATACCAAGGGTGCCAGCTCTCAGCAAACAGACCTCAGAATATGTGCAACCAAAGAAGGTGGGAATGGTAAAGCACTGCCAATAATGGGGACTTGAAGCTTACTCACCAACACTACTGGGATAACTAATTGTACCTCCAAGGAAAATTAAGGTAGAATCACACAAGACACCCTGGGTTCAATCCTTAGCACCCCTCCCCCAAAGCAGAATTCTATGTCATGCATAAAGAACAATAAAATAAATGCCAGATGGAGTAAACTGATGAGCTAACATATGAAGTTGCTTTAAGGCCCCACACATATGACCTATTGTATAAGCAGTGGTTATCACCAACAACGTATTTTCTCTTCACTGCTAGCCCACAAAGCAGTGGCAACTAGTATGCCCATCTTGTCAATGTGAAACAGACACCAGCTTAGCTTTGGCCTCAGAACACAGGCTTTCAATGAAAGTGTTGCTGTGCTGCCCATGTGAGTGTGCTAACACCTGCACCAGGGGTGGGAAGCCTGAAGGATGTGCAGAGCCATGGGGCCCTCCAAGCCCTGGCTGCTCAGCATGTTCCTCAGGCCAGTAGTATCAGCATCTTTTGGGAGACTGTTGGAGATGCTGGCACTCCCCCCAATCTCCATCCTAGACCTGTGTTTAAACCACATCCAGTCAGGATTCCTGGGCACATTCGAGACTGTTTAATGAGAACAAAATGCCAATCTTCAGGAAAAGGCAGAGGGTGAGATACAGCATTAATTCTCACTTCCTCCCCAAACTCCACTAGCACCACTGCAGGGGAGTTATTTAACATGCCAGGGCAAGGATGAAGACAAAACAAGCGAAGGGATCCATAAGCTGCAGAAAGCTCATCCTCAAGGTGGCTCAAGGCCATTGAAAACCCATTGATGTTCCAGAACCCCAAACCCTGAGGTATGGGCAAAGCTGGAAAGCTCTGCAGCAGGCATCAAGAGAGGATGCGAGCACAGGAAGGCTAGCAGGAAGCCGCCTTGCCTTGGGTGTGCTCCTATGCACCCGGCTGCACGGTCTCAGGTACTGCCCGAGCTGACTCAGCCTGTCTTTGAGATGACCCTGTGACACATAATGCCTCACAGCCTAACAGTGAATCTGTCCCCCTTGTAATCTGCCCCTATAGGAACAGGAGACCACAAAGGTCTTTGCTGAGGTACAACTTCTCCGTCTTATGAGAGATGACTCTGTCATGTAGGCATGGCCCAGCAGTCCACATGAGCACACTGAGCTTCAACCAACTGGTTGGTGCCCTCACCAAGCACGACCCGTAGACACACAGCACAAAAGCGGTCACTATGAAGGCGCTCTGAAAGAGGGGTTGTGAAGAGACCAAAGCCATGGAATGTACTGAAATGGACACACAGTCGGTGGATGGTGACCTTGGGCAGGGAAGAGCCCTCATCAGGGAGCCAGCAGACTGTCCAGAAACTGGAAAAGCAAGCCGGGAAGGCTTAGGACACTCACAGCTCAGAAACGTAGATTTCTATCAAACAAGGAAGAAAATATAGCCACAGAACTGGGTATGGCTTATCCTCAGAGAAACAACAGTTGTGAGACATCCCTCACCTCTCTGCTGTGATGACAGAACCCAGGGCTTCCCACCCTCCCAGCTGCAGCCCCAGCCCTGCAGTGGCTTTTTGTCTGGCAGGGCTTTGGACGAGCTAGCTGCTCAATCTCTTACAATCACTCTCTTCCACTCCAGATTTGATCAAGAACTTCCAGTACTGAAATGTCTAGGCACCCGATGATAATCAGGGACTTCTTGTCTGTTCTGCTGTTTTCCAGTCTGTGCATTGGAAAGAGCATGCCTTGGGGTCACATTTTCCATTAATTAAAGCCACCTGACTGGGGTACAGCTCTGAATTCCAGCCTCTGTGGGCAAGAAGCCAAGCCAGTCATTTAAATGCTCTGGGAAGCTCATTTGTGGAAGGACTTGACTTTGTAGGAGAGAAAATTGTTTGATGCAGTCCACACTGGCTAGGAGGTCAGCTCCAAAATGACCAAGGACTAGGGCTAGGGGGCAGATATGTGGAGCCATCCTCCTTGTCTGAGGCCACAGCACCTCCCGCTGCTCAAAGCAGCCAGGAATCCAGCTTTGGCCTTGTCTAGGGAGTCTGGACAGGAAACTCAGAGCAAAGGCAAACTCTCTGTGCCTCAATTTCTTCATCTGTGAAACCCATTTTCTTTCTTTCATTTGAAAGGGGCTGGTGAATGCTGCTGCATGGTCCATAGCCAACAAATCTGAGTTATTACTCCCAGCAGTGGAGGAAATGCCAACACCAGTTAGAACAAGACCACTACATTGGATCTAACATGTTCCCTTAAGGCCTTTGTGTTCAAGGCTTGGTCTCCAGCTTGGTGCTTTTGGGAGGTGGTGGAAACTTTAAGAGGCTGGGCCTGATGAGAAGTCTTTAGGAAGTGCCCTTGCAAGATCATGTGGGACCCTGGTCTCTTCTTTTCCACTTCCCTGCCATGAGTGAATGGTTTTGCTTGCTGCCCCCACCCCTAGGCTCCCACCACACTGTGTTGCCTGAAAGCAATGTGGCCAGCTGATATGGACTGAACCTTTGTAGCTGTGAGCCCAAACAAACCTTTTATAAGCTGGTGATCTTTATTTGTAAAAGGACAGAAAGCTAACATTAAAAGACCCAATTCCCCCATCCCCCATTCCCTACCTCATAATGACTGGAAACTGGTCTAGATGAACAGAGCTGTAAGCTGGGGAGAAAGAGGAGCTTCAGCCCCCTGTCCTGGGAACCATGGACACTCCCAGTTACAGTGAGAATGAGAGTATGCAAACAAACGTAGACGTGGCTGTCCTCTTGGAGTCTCTGTGACTGTATGGTACAGAGGTGTGCACTGAACTGCTGGAATGCTCTCTGTAGATTCCCTCCAGACATTCTGTCCCTTGGGTCCCAGGAGGAAGTTCCCATTCCAGGAGGAATGCATTTGCACAAAGCTCTCAGTAGAGCAAGTGTTCAGGGAGGAGAGTCCCAGAACTTCAGTACTCCCAGACCTGGCTCCGATTCAAAGGAATTCCAAGACTTCCCCATCAGCCCACAGCCTACTTTCTGACACCCTCTTACCAGCCTACACCACCTCCATTGTGAAGGGCAACCCAGGTAGCTCCACGACAGGCATCTCCCACGAAGTTCTGCACAGCCATGTCTGCAAAAACAGGGCAAGCACGAGCCATCATTTCTTGCACTGGGTGGTTGTGGGGACCTGACCTGGCTCATGCTATTTCTCCAGACTGAAGGACAGTATGACAGTTGGCAAGTGGGGAACAGTCGGGCCAAGTCCAGAGGTAGCAGAAGCTAAGAAAGCAGAAGGAACTGATAAACCCAGTTGTTCCTGTCACCCTTCCCTATAGCCACACCCTCTGTAGGCGGTACTGATGAGCCCAGTTGTTCTTGTCACCCTTCCTTACAGCCACACCCTCTGGCATTCTATGTCCATTGGTGTCTAGCAGCAGAAAGAGCAGAATAGAAAGGCATATGGCTCTGTTGTTGGCTCAGAGATTCAGAGAGCACCTCTTCCAACCTTTAAAATACCTGGGGGTTGGGGCTGGAGAGATAGGTCAGTGGTTAAGAGCACTGGCTGCTTTTACAGAGGCTCTATATTCAGTTCCCAGCACCCAAATGGCGGCTAACAACAGTAACTCCATGTCCATGAGATTCGATGCCCTCTTCTGGCCTCTGTGGGTATTGCTCACATGGGTGCACTTACATACATGCAGGCAAAATACTCACACACATAAAATAAAAATAACTATTTTTAAACACTGGGGGCAGGGATTGTAAATGAATGACATCTCCATCACTGAAGTCAGGCTCTCATGTTGGCTGTTGGGCAGGTATTTGAGGGGCACCTACACACAGTGTGTGTGGGTGGGGTGCCCCTTTAAATGTTGTCAACAGTCCTTCAAAATTTCACTGACTGTCTCACTCAGTTCTTCACCCAGGAGGCATTCCTGTCCAACATTTTTTGAATGAGTGATATATGAAGAATCATGAGCTACAACTGAGCATGCTCAGTTGTGAGGAGTCTTCCTGTGTGAACATGAACCAGTTTCCCTAATAAGAGTCCCTGGCTTCCTTTGTTGTGGGGGAGTGCTTTGTTAGTGGCCCCACTGTGTCCTCACTGGCTGTAAGTGATTAACCATTCTTCATTATTTCATGTCTCATTTTCCTCAACTGCCTTGCTGTGGTCAGACAACCATGAAGCTGGTAACCTAGGGATCAAGACCCCTGTGGGGAAGCAGAGCCCAGCTGGTTGCCTTCAAACATTTAACATGTCCAAGGACAGGTGTGAGCTAGCCTGAGACTTGCCTTTGTGATGTCCTGGTGATGCAGGCATATGGTAGTAGCTCCTTCTGTGTCTCTTTCTCCACCCCACCCCTGGTACACAAAGAGATGGGGGAACCTTAGAATGCTTTCCTGCTCCTGGTGCTGAGCTATGAGGAGGGGGTGGAGAGCTTGCAACCCTAGAATCTGAAAAAGACAGGGAACAGCTTCTTCCCTTTGAGACAGGGTCTCTCTGTGTTACCCAGGCTGGCTTCTAACTCCTAGGATCAAGCGATGCCCTCCACTTCAGCTTCCTGATTCACTGGGACTGTAGGTGTGCACTCCCACAGCAAATAATGTTAAATAAAGACAATGCGTTGGTCTTCCTCACCTGCACAGAAGGCAGAGCCATCGTAAATATTGGAAGTCTCCCTAAAGGGGCTGTCAGTTCCACTCACATCATGGTGGTCGCGGCTCAGGACCACAGGTGCCTGTGGGTTGGGAGGATACGTTTGCCAATAGTGTCCACCAGGGATGCCCAGCTCAAGGTAGAGGATGAGGGTTAGGCCACTACAGAGGTCCTTTGGATTCCCATCACCCCTGAACAGAGACTCACTCTAAAAAGTAGCTACTGCAGCTGTTAATGGGTTCCTGTGAGCCAGGTGGTACCTATGTGCTACACCATTGTTAGAGCACAAAGCTTCACAATAACCCCATCCAGACAGTAGGACTGCTGGCTTCATAGCAAATGAAGGAGAGGCACAGAGAAGCTAAGGAGCTAGGCCTGTGCCACAGAGCTTGTAATCCAGTAAGCTGGGGTGTAAACATGTACATGCTATACCAGGTCTGGGCTCTACCCTTGGGAAGCTTGGTTCCTGAACCTTTGCAGTGAGGAAAGGGGCTGGCAGATAACTCTAGGTGTGTGAGTGTGGTTGGACACATCTGGGAAGTCTCCCCTAGTGATCTGGGAAGCAGATATCTGGACAAAGGACAAAACTCCTTGTATGATGTTGGGCACATCACACCCCCACCCCCACCCCCGCCTCTGGGCCTTGAGTACCTGGGTAAGGTAATTTCTAGGAACCTTTTTGTGCTGCTACTGTCTTTGAGGACAAAGACTTGTCAGGTGTTGAAATCCCCCACATCTTTGTGGACAGAGCTTCATCTACTCCAAAGATTTCAGGACCCTTGGGGATCCAGTGAACATAGTGGGGGGCTTTGCTGCTTCCTACCCATGTGGTGGAACGCTGCTAAGCCTGAGGGTGCAGCAGGTGGAGCTGAGGACAGGTCCACTTAGGTTACCTGTACTGTGCCCAGCTTGGTCTCATTATGAAAGTAAGTTCTCTGGAACTTTGCAAAATCAGACGGAAGGAGCTAGGCAGAAGGGCCCAGGAGTTAGCAAGCTGATGCAGGGGGAGATATGGGCACCTGCACAATCAAGTTTGGTCCTTGCTCTGGTCAGGCGGGGGGCAGTCCCCAGTGCCCACAGGGACTGCTACTTGCCTCCAGCAAGGTAGTGCTGTTCCTAGCCCCAGCTCTGCCATCTTCTTCCAAGTGCCTCAATGAAGGAGCTTGCCTTCCCAACCCTCCACAGTGGGCCCAGGGATTCCAGTGGTTCCCAAAATATAAGGATGCATTCTGCTGAGAGGTTGAGAGACCCCACAGAACTCAAGGGCCCTTCCGACTGTCCTGACCTTCCTTGAGCAGGCCATGTTGTACCCATGATGTCAGCTCTGCAATGAAACTGCCTTCTGGGACCTCTGGTTATTCAGGGCTCAGCTCACTGTCTGCCATTCAGAAGGGCCTGTTCTAACCACCCACAGCTCTTCAACTCACCACGTTCATTCATGTTCTTCCTAGGGCTCACCTCCAACTGGAAACATCTCCTGACTTACATCTACAGTTATATTGCATCAATCTCCCTTCGTTATACTGGACCATGTGCACCCTGCCCTCTGTAGTTTTCTCCACACACCACACAAAGGAGGCGCTCCACCAAGCATTGTCCAATGAATGACTGATGGAGGGAGTGACTCTCATATGCTCAGTCAGCTGCCTCCCTGCTGGTGGCCAGTCAGCCTGGATGCCAGACAGTGAGGCCTTCTCAACATCCCTCACACACACAGTGGGCTTCAGGGAAGTGCCCAACAGCCATGCCTGTTGGCTGTGCTCCCCCAATAGGGAACCGCTGCCCTTGATGCCAGTGCCACCCTGGCCTCTAACCCTGAGCCATGTGTGGGGATGGCCTCCTACACCATCACTTCACCTTCACCTCTGATTAGCATTCCAAGAACTTCAGACAGAGATGCGATCAGAAAATGGGTGGCAGAGACTGAGAGGATCAACGATTTCCTTCAAGTGCCTGGGGTTCTGTGTCTGTCACAGCTCAAAAACTGTAACTCAGAAAAGATGTGTGGCATTACTTTTGTGGATTGTGACTCATTTAATTCTCATACCCACATCTGAGGTTTCAACATGATATTCTTTTTACAGAATAGGGAAACTGAAGCCCAGAGTGGGCAGCTGACTTGCACAGATCACTTCAAAAGGGACAGTGTCAGGATTTGCATTTGGATAGGCCTGGTATCTCCTTGTCCCCATTTCCACCACCACTGTTACATATTCAGAGTTGGGGGTGCTGGGAGGATGCTAGACCTTCTGTGGTCTCTACTCTCCCAAGCAGGGCCTGGGACCCAAAGTAGCTCCTCTCAGAGCCCCTCTGCCTGTCTGCTCCACAGAGTCGCAGGCCTTCAAGGAACCCAGTTTCCCTACAAAGGTAGCCATTTGGGCCTCAACTGGGGGAGGGCAAAAGCTCCCAGGCAAGGGCTGGCCCATTATTTCTGCACTGGTCATCACTGAGGCCAGAGGCCTCTCCCAGAAGGTTGGGGAGGTGGGAAAGGGCAGGCTGGGGCACAGGCAGGAAGCCCCAGACAGGGCCTGTGTAATAAAAAAATGTGTCTATGAGTCCCCTCAAAGCACAGGCTATGTCACCTTGATCTTCCCACTGGCAATGGCCTGGTTAATGGCCATGGCAATGGCCACACGACCCCTCTGGTCTGAGTACAGGATCCTCGCCTGGGAGCCTACCACCTGCAGAGAGAAGAATGAGAAAGACTCTTACTCAGTCAAGATACATGTACACCAGGGGCTGTTAGTGTGAGGGAGATATGGGTGACATTAGGGCCATGTGACTTGGCCAACTGCAGCCTGATGGCCCATCTAGGGGGGGTCTAGAGATGCAGAACATCTCTAGAGCCTGGGGCTGTGGGCACCTCTCACATCCAGCCCACTGGACAGCCACACTGGTGGGCCGTTGCATGCCTACAAGTGGACCTCCCACAAGGTCTGGGCCACCTGATTCCTCTCTATGTCCACCACCCTTAGCATTCACCCCTGGAATAGACTCAGAGACCACCTCCCAACTCCTGTGCACTAGAAGATTACCTGTTGTAGACCCTGCTTCTGCCCCAGCCCTTTCTATATCACAACAGCACCGCTAATGTGAGACTTAATTAAGCCTGACTCATTCCACATGCTCTCTTCCCACAATTCACAGCTGGGAATGTCATGGAGGACACTGAATTCTCATCACAAACTCCATCATACAGATGAGGAAACCGAGGCCCATAGGACAGATGAGGTAACCCCCCTACAGGTTGGGAGTTGGACCCTGTGTGCTTATCTCTGTCATCCCCCACAAACCCCAGCTACTGCACCTCTGGAAGGAATTGGTGATCAGCTTCCAAAAATGAAAATGAGTTCTTAGCCCCATGGTTCTCAATCAGGACACCACTTGGCAATGGCTGCAGACATTTTGGGGGTGGTGTTGGGAGGGATGCTGCCAAACATCTCACTGTGCCCCACCCCATAGAGGTTAATCCAGCTCCCCAGGGTGTCAGTGTTTGCACACCCATGAACATGGCAGAATCAGTCACAAGAGCAGGATGTAGAAACAACACAGGTGTCCAGCAGCCAAGGAGTGGATGGGTAAAATGTGGTCTCTCCATGCAATGGAATATAACCTGCATCACTGGCATCTGTCCCTGCAGATTTAACCACCCACCAATAAAGAATTCAGGAGGGGCTGGGTAGATGGCTCAGCAGTTAAGAGCACTGGCTGCTCTTGCAGAGGACCCAGGTTCAGTTCCCAGCATCCACATGGCAGCTACAGCTGCAGTTCCAGGGAATCTGATGCAACACCATCTTCTGACCGCCACGGGCATTGCATGATATGGGTGCACTTACATACATGCGGGGAAAACACCCATACACATTAAAAGAAAACAAGAATGTTCCAGGAAAGGGGCTGGGAGATGGCTCAGAGGATAAAGCACTTGCTGCAAAAGTGTGAAGATCTCCAGCACCCTACAAGAGCAGGGCAGGCATGGCAGCCCATCCATAACCTCAGACACCTTTCCTGATCCTATACTTCTCTCTCCTTCTGGTGTGCACCTTCACCTGTGTGCTCAGCTTTGGGCCTGTGTCTGGGGAAGGCCATAGAAGCCTGCTCTAAGACATAGCACCCTGACCTCTGCTTTGCAGATGGGGGTTGAGCCACTCACCCAGGGCACTCAGCTGAGACTGTCACAGCACCTACTCTTGCTCCTGCCTCCTACAGGCTAACCTCTCCAGAGAGCTGTTTTTGGAGTAACTGGATGAAAGACAACCCTGCTCACTGTTACAGAGCACCAGGCTACTATTTTATCCTCCATCTTAAAAAATATTGGTAAATTACATATACATAACATAAAGTTGACCATTGCAATCAGCTTTTAGTGTTCTGCTTGGTGGCATAAAGTGAGTGGCTAGCCCTATCATCCAGTTCCAGGACTTTCTTCATTTTCCCAAACTGGAACTCTGTCCCCATTAAATGCTGACCCCCTCCTGGCCCTGACACACACTCTGCTTCTTCTTCCCTGCCTATTCTAGGGACCACATGTGGGCTGTACCCTACAGTGTTTGTCTTCCATGACTGACTTATTTCACTGAGCATCATGCCCTCCATGTCCACACAGGTTGGTAGTGACTGGCAGAACAGCCCTCTCTGCTGCTGCATTATAAGGGAGAGATGCTTAGTAGATCCATTCATCCACCCGTGGGCCCTTGATTTGCCCTGGTGTTTTAGCTACTGTATTGCTGCTATAACCAGGTGTGCACAAATAGGACCTTGAGACCTGCTTCCAGTTCATTAGGACTGCAGGATGGGATAATTGGATCATGTGGCTTTACACTCCTGCCAACAGTGCCCAAAGGTTCCAGGTTCTCTATGTTGCCACCCAGCTCTGGCTTTTTTTCCATCTTTTTGGAGCAAGTGGCCACCGCAGGACCACTGCCAACAGTCACACAGGGTGCAGAGTCTGTACCTCTCAGGTGTGGCACATTGATGCCAGGGTTGTGCTGAGACCCCTCTGGCTGCACCTGTCTTTGGGCATTCTCTTGAGAGCCCAGCCTTCCCCAACACTCTACAGCATGCCCTTGACCCAAGGCCGAGCTCTCACCAGCTGGTGCTTGGCAGCCTCCTGGATCCAGCGGATGTTGTCTGCATACTGCAGCCTCACAGAGGCCTTCACTGCAGGGAGAGAGGAGAGGGCTGTCACAGTCCACTGTCAGGGGCCCCTACTGCTTGCCATAGGTGCCTGGAACCCACAGGAGCCTACCCCTCAGCCCCCGTCACTAGCCTCTCCAACTTCAGGAACCAGCAGGGCTGATGATAACATGAATTAATGTATGGGTCTCTGCAGCCTACCACTGATGCATTCATTCCATCAATAAATAACTATTGAGGACCTACTGTATACCAGACACCCAGCCAGGCATAGGAACAAAAACTATGGTTGGCAATGACAACATGAGAGGGTGAAGTCTTGGGGGATAAAGACTCCCCAGGAAAGGGAAGGTGAGTCACCAATGCTGAAAATCTCTGTAGGAACAGAATTCCAAGCAGCGGGAATAGCCAGCACAAAGGCCCCGAGGTGGGAATGGCTTATCCTATCTGAGGAGGGTGAGTGGAAGTGGGCTGGCAACTGTGGTGCACAGCTGCACCTCATAGCTCAAGATCAGACCAGCAATGAGGAGTTGAGAGCAGCCAACAGAGAGAATGTTAATATACTCAAACTTGTCCTCTAAAAAGTGTATATAAAATGAGGACTGGAAAGATGGCTTAAGTGGTTAAGAGCAGAACTAGGAACTTAATGTTCTTCCAAGAAACCTGGGTTCAGTTCCCAGCACCCACATGCTGTTTAACGCCCTTCCTTAATTCCAGTTCCAGGGGATCTGATGCCCTCTTCTGGCCTCTGTGGGCACAAGGTGTGCACACAGTGTTCTTACCTACATATGGACAAAACACTCATAAAGTAAAAATAAATCATAAAACCTCAGCATCTTTCTCCACTTGGCCTGGCTCCTCTCATGTAGGTGGCCTGGCTGTCCCTCATCTGCTTCTCTAGGCCTAGAACTATATGGCCTGAACCCCTACCATAGCCCCTTGAACCTAAAGTAGGGAGCAGGGTTCAAATGTGCTCTAGGATCTTAGAGCAAGCAGCAAAGGCTGACCGACCCACATAGGGGACAGGCCATCCTGGACCTATGGGAAAATGATGAAGAAACGGGAGTAGGAACTCTGATGACTGAAGAAGTTTTCTGCCGTCCCTTTGCACTTGACCAACAACAACAAATGCATTCCAAAAGGACAGTGTGTTCTAAGAAAGGGACAGGAACATGTAGACACAGAAAGACCACAGTCACCCAACTGAAAGAGGCAGAACCAAACCTTTGCATCCATGACCCAAGATGAGCTTGGGGGCTGCTGATGCTTACAGAACCTGAGCATCAGGTGGCTGTGGACAGAGTCAGGCATGGGGGCAACGTGCTCATAAAAGGCAGCTGAAGGGAATCAGAGGCTCCAGTGGCATTCACACCAGGCAGTGCTTGAGTGCCCTACCCACCCCAGGATAAGGGACATGCAGGAGAGCAGCTGGGCCAGAGAGGCCTGCAGCTTGTCAAGGGCTGCCCAGCAGTGCCTACATAGCAAGCCCTGGCTGTGATTGTTGGTCACCTAAGTCTGCTTCAGTAACTTTGAATGTTTGTTGTTGCTTGGATATGAAATGTTCCTCAAAGGTCATGTGTTGGGGGATTAGTTGCCAGCCCATAGCATTACTGGGAGGAGATGAAACCTCTAAGAGGAGGGAGGAAATGAGGTAATTTTGGGTGGAGTCCTGACGGGAATGTTGGGACTCCAGTCCTCCTTCCACCCAGTGATCCCACCATGCTGTGCTGCCTTGCCACAGGCCCAAAGTAACAGAAAAAGTAACAGAGCCAGGTGACCCCTTCTGAAGTCTCTGAAGCCAAGAGCCCAAAGGAAACTTCTCCTTTAAAAGGAAGACTGGCTGTCTCGGGTACCTTATCTCAGTGACTGAGAGCTGACTGACTCAGTGGCTCTTTGTACCTTGCAGCCAGCAGGTGCTGAGGCAGATCTGACTACAGGGCTGGAGAGCAGAGCCTGGAGGGTAGATGGGGCTGGGCTTCTGTGCTCAGAAAGCATTCAGGAAACAGGATCTCCCTGGTTTGTCTCAAAGTGCTTGGTGTTCCCGTGCATAGTCACCTGGGCCTGACTCAGGTGAGCCCATACAAAATCTGCCTCCAGCTACTAGGTACCCTATGAAGGCAGGGGATTTAGGAGACTACCCTCTTGTGAGCACTGCCCACCCAAGTGTCACCTTGGTCTGCAATGGCCTTCTCCAGCACAGATGTGGCCAGCTGGTCTGTGGTAGCCAGGTCCTGGGGGTCCCCCGACGTGCATACCCAGCGGAAGGGCCCAAACCCCTGTGAGAATATGTCCCTGTAAGGACAAACACATCCTCAGTCAGGGTCTCCTGGGATGCTGGCACCTTCTCCCTGGGCCAGGGGGCAGCATATGGGTATACCCAGCCACATGGGAGGGACAAGAATCCAGAATGCGTTCAAAATCCTTGGCCTTTAAGCAACAGAATTCACAGAGGCCTTCCTGTCCCTCTGCCTCCTCCCTGACCTCTGCCTCCCTCTCCAGCTGTACCACTCTTCATCCGGTGACAGGAGCAGGGAGGTAAGACAAAGACAAGCTGACATTTTCTCAAACTACTCTGATAAAGACTACATGAAAACCAGCCACTTGAGGCTAAATATCAGAGAGAAAGGGGTGACTATGAGGACTCAGCCTGGGCGATGTCATGTCAGGGACCGTGACCTTTCCAGATGACCCAGTTTCTATGGCAGGTGAAATGGGGCAGAGGATGCTGTGGCCTTGTGCCTTCCAGGCTGGGTGCATCCCTCTGGTCTCTTTCCTGCTTCTCTTCCCAGGGAGAACCCAGCCACTTTGCACCCTAGCCTACCCTTGTCTCTGCCTCCACCCACACAGTGAACCTTAGAAGGCAACCTCTGCCTCTCTGGCCTCCATTCATCCCTGGCCTTCATCCTTCTCTGGCATTTGTCCCTCTCTGCCCCCCTCTGTGAACACCTGAGCTTAAGGTCCAAACTCCTCAGTTGGCCTACCACCTACCTTGGCCCTGGTTCCTTCTGGGTCCCCTGATCCTCTACTTCTCCTGGGCTGCTGACCCTCCCCAGACCTGCCCTGCACAGCCAGATGGGTATGAACACTCTGGAGCCACGGCCGCTCAGGGTGGAGCCATCATCCAATGGGCAGCTCCTTGAGAACACTGTTTAAGGCTACAGATACATGGGGTAGCAGAGTACACATGGACGTGACCTTGGATGCCTGGCCCCTTGGTTCCCTGTGTTCTCACTGAGGCCCTGCTGAAGCCCTCCATATTTTTAGTTTCTCTACATTTCCTGGCTATGTGAGGGTTTCAGCATGCAGCCCGGTGACCGCCAGTATTGGAGCCTCCTCCAATCTGAAGGCTGGATCCTAGGCTCTAAGATAGGCAGGGCTGTAACTAGGCAATCCTATGTGGGGCCACCCATTACTCACCCCATAATGTGCTGGACATAGGAGGGGTAGCGGAACTCTGTCTTGTTGGCTCCTTTCTTCTCCACGTCCGCTCCTGTGCCCAGAAACACATGCCTGCATGCACATCCTCAACCATGCAGACAGTGACTTAAACAGGGGCCCTGGGAAAGGCTAGGAAAGGAGCTGAAAGATCTTTCCTTAGGTAAAATAAGGGGAGGAAAAGCAGAATGCAGCCCTGGACTACACACTGCCATCTGTGTGATTGGGGTGTGAGGCAGACATGATGGCCTACAGACCAGGTATCTGCCACAGAAGCGCAGTCCACAGTCCCCCCCGCCCCCGGCAGGAGCCTGGGAGGAGAGCCTCGAGGAAGACTGCCCAAAGTGGACTTTAAGCTTTTTATGTTTTTCACAACACAGGGAAAAACTGAAGCCCAGAGAAGCCTGGCCACCTGGCAGGACGAGGCTCCAGAGGGAAGGCCTGGGCAGACACACATAGTGAGACCTATCAGGCACTCACTGGGTGACCTTGTAACCAAGCCATGATTATGAATAGGGAAGAGGGGAGTCCACACAGGGAGGGCCACATAGGCCCCAGGCACCACTTGCACAGACTTCCACTCAGCCTACCTGCTCTCTTTGCCTCTAAGAGGAAGGCGTTACCATAGTCCCAAAAGAAGAACTTCTCCTGGGCCAATCTGTTGATGGCCGAGACATGCCTCCTCAGGCTGCAACAAGCAGGTAGTCAGGTCCCCGAACTGTCCTCCAGCTCCCCATAGATAGTCTATGCCCCTGGAGTTGGCCTCCACCAGGCTCACTGTGGCTCCTCTGGTATTCCCTACTCAGTGCCCGACTCCTATATTTATTTAAAATTCTGGCCCCTCAAGACCCAGGTGGTGGTCCTCTAAACCAGCATTCCCCATAGGACCCTGAGGAAAAAACAGATGGACCAGACAAGGTACTGTGGGTGTCCCAGTGTTCATCCAGCACAAACTTATGCAAGAAGCTGCCCTGGGGATTTTGCAAATGCTACTTCAGTTTGTCCTGCTATTCCTAGAAATACTGTGCCCATATCCCCTCTGACCAGAGGCGGAGGCTCAGAGATGTTAGGGTCACGCTCAAGTCCACACAGCTGTCCACCTGGCAACCAGATGAACTGTCCAGGCCTGCAGCCCTTATTGCCCTGTCCTAAGCAGCCTTTTCCTGTCCCCCCTCTTACCTTTCCTGTACCAGGTGCTTGAAGGCTTCTGGGTTGGAGGCCATGAGGCTCTGGGCCTCTGAGAAGCTGAGCTGTACAGGGTAGTAGCCGCCATTGAATGGGTTGTGGCAGGATGTCTGGTCTGACCCAAGATCCACCAAGAGCTCCCCTGTGGTGTCCAGTTCATGGACCAGGCGCTCCCTGGAGTGGCATGCATGTGCTGGAGGTGAGAAGCAGCCCACATTCCCACCTATACACACTGTAGGCAGTGCCTACATTTCCCTTTGTGGAAGGCATGGTCAGGAAGGCCACATGAGCTTGGGTGGGGATGATGACCATCTCAGGAGGGACAGAGTTAAGGCTTGGAACACCGATCTTGAAAGCCCATGGTCAGGTAGAATGGGACCACCTTTGGGGTACCTAAACCACCAACGTCCACGTACCAAAGATCCACCACATTGCCATGGTAACCGAGGCTGAGCACCTCCTTCCTTTTCCGTGCCTCCCTAGAAAGACAGAAGAGAAGAACAGAAGACTCACACCGTCCTCAGCTGCCATGATGCAGCTGCCTCGTCGCCTACAGGAGCTCAATGCTTGCCAAATGTGGCAAACATAGGAGCCCATCTAGGGATTGACTGCATGAGGGTAAGTCTGAATAAGTGTGAATCAGTGTGTGAGTGAGGACATGTGTGAGGATCTGTGTCAGTGTGGGCCTGTTTGTGTTGTGGGCCTGTAGGCATGTGCCAAGGTAACGTATATCCTTTCTAATCCCAAGACAGAAGAAAGGGGAAACATAGGCCGGAATGCCGCAATTGGTTGAAGTGAGCTGCAATGACAACAGTTGTCCCAGGTGACAGATCACTGGGCCATGGATGTTTCAACCCTAATCAGGGTCTTTGTAGAACTCATTCATGTGGGAAGAGGGGCACTGAAGTTGTAGAATATACTAGTGATGACTCTGAAATCATTTGGAGAAACAGAAGTAGGCAAGAGGATGTTTATAACCCAGGCACACTGACACCTGCAATCTCAGGGCTTGGGCGGTCAGGCAGGAGAATATCAAGTTTAGAGCCTCAAGGTTGCCTGTGAGCCAGCAGGGCTCTAGGGCAAATCTCTAGGGACCCCTCCCATGACACTTCACAGTAGGGCCTTTGTGTGGCACCTGGTGTAGGGTCCACCTGTCAGGCATCAGGCACTGAACAGGCCCATGCCGAACTGCCTGTCTCCCAGCCTTTCCTCATACTTTCTCTCCTGATGCCAATGCTCAGGGTTCTGAGTCCTACACAGCCAGCTGTACCTGAGTCTTGCAATGCAGTGGTCCAAGCTGTCAGTCACCTCCATCAGCCAGCCTTGCTGATGGCGTTTTGCAAGTGCAGCTTTGTCAACCTAAGGCCATGAGACACAAGCCATCCATTATACATGGACCCTGAACATAGCACCCTCCCCGTAAGGAGGTGCTACTCCATGTACCCTGTCCTGCTTTCATGACACAGACTCCCTCCTCCCCATCAACAGATCCTTGGTTTCATTCAGGATAACATTGTTCAACCAAACTAAACATAGTACCCATCCATAATTCCATTGCTCCAAGACTGGCCGATGAGAAAAATGAAGGGGGTTCTGAGACACGAGTTTACTGCTGAAATAGATCTAACACATCTCTTCTCACTTCTTCCTGCTTTGAATGTGGATGACATGGATGGGACTGGGGCAGCAATTTTGTCTCCATGTGGGAAGCCCAGGATAATCTAGAGGTTCTGACACTGATATCACTGAGCTGCTGAACCAATGCCAGCTGTTGGCTACGTGAGAAAATAGAACTCTGTTTATGTAAACTGCTAAAGATATGTCTTCTGTTACCTGCAGCCCAACACAGTCCTATCAAGTGCAGAGATATACAACATGGGCATTGTCAAGTCAAATTGTGAACTGTGTCCCCAGGCTTATCTCAAAGCTCCTTCCTTCCTCTACCTCCTACTTCTGAACTTCCTGTCCTTGGCATCTCCCACACAGGTGTAAGAGCCATAGGGAAAGCCTCCTGTGCACACTCTGCTGAGGAGATACCTGTCTGCCTCTTTCATCCGACTCTGAGCTGCTCAAGCTGGGGACAGGGGGCGGGGGCGGGGGCGGGTCTATAATGAATTCACGCACATTCATTCTCTCTCATCTAGGTCCCTCATCTTGTGGGATGCAGGAAGCAATGTCTATAAACACACTGTTCCAGCTTCAGGGCCAGAAGTCAGCAGGCACGGAGCAAGAAGGGTGGTGGGTACTGTGCAAGCAGGGTGCATGTGTCGCCATGGAGACCCTCCCAATGAAGTTGAGCAAGGCTTTGTGGAGGACGTGAGGGAGGGTAGGAGGCTGGTAAGGGAAGAAGAGGCATGAGGGGGATGTGGTATGAGCAATTATGGAAGAAAGGAAAGAAGGAGAAAAAGGACCAAGAGGGAGGAAGGATGGGGAGGAAGGGAGGAGCACAGGAAGGAAGGGAGATGGACAGATGGAGGGAAGGAGGAAGGAAGGGAGACAGGGAGTCAGGGAGCGGAGGAGTGACTGGCAGAGGCTCCCTGGCTCACCTCTGCTATCACCCCGATGCACCCAACAATGGCTGCAGCCTTGGCTTGAGCCCCACTCATCCCACCAAGTCCAGAGGTGACGAAGACTTTCCCTGCCAAGTTCTCAACGCCCAGGTACCGCCGGCCAGCATTCAGCACAGTGAGCTGTGGGTGAGAGAAGCAGGGTGCTCACCCTCCACCCTAGCACATCCATGCACAGAGACCCACCACTTCCCATTGCACCCATCTCTCACCACTGTGCCATGGACAATTCCCTGGGGACCAATGTAGCAGTAGCTGCCTGCTGTCATCTGGCCGTACCTGAGCAAAGAGGACAAGGGCAGCAGAGCCTGAGCCTGGTGCCAGGCATGTCTTTCCCATCACTGAGGAGCTTTAGAGTGAGCCTTTAACCACTCTCAGAGGTGCGCCTACATTCTCTTTTGTTAAGACAAATGGATGGAACCAAAGATCGTTATTAAATTTGTGTGTGTGTGTGATAGCGAGAGAGAGAGAGAGAGAGAGAGAGAGAGAGAGAGAGAGAGAGAGAGAGAAATAGACTGTGAAGAGGAAGAAGAGCAATGAGGGGGGAAACAGGAGAGGATGCTGGAATATGTGTGTCATGAAAGCAGAAGAGGGGACAATTTAGGGGAGAAAAGGACCAACAAGAAGGGGAGAGAGGAATGAGGGGTTATGGGGAGGGCAAATAAGAACTGAATGTGCATGAAAATACCTCAGTGAAGCCTCCTTCTCTGTGTGCTAACCAAAATATTTTAAAAATTAAAGTCAAATAAAATAAAAATAAAGTCAAATGACATAATATGCCACAGGCCCCTCCTCTTTCTGGCCCCTACTGCCTTCAAAATGTTTTGTGTACAGATATTCTTCTCCTAAAACCTGTCCTATTAATGGCTTAAAAAATCATTTTGGGGGCTCTTGGGCCAGGCAGTGTAAGGATGATAATGGCCTAGCATGGCCACGTTACATGCCGGTGTTCATGCAGCCACATACAGGGGTCATGTCTGAAATTGCTCGTAATAAAAGCTTTGGAAAAGATGGAATCCAAAATCATGTTTGTTTGGTTACACATTCTGAAAATGGTAACTATTTATAAAAAATTACAGCAGTGGGGTGTGCAAAAATGAAAAGTCTTCCACAGTCTGGTCTGTTTCATCTAATCAGATTTAACACTGCCATATTGTTTTATCCTGAAACATGGCTGACTAGGGCAGATGCTGCAACAGTGAGGTGAAATTTCAACTTACATGGTTACACCCAAGGCGAACAGTTTCTCATACTCTGTCCTGGAGGAATAGTTGGGAATGACCTGGAAAAGAGGGAAGAAGCATGTGGGGGCTGAGGTCTTACCCACAGCACCCATTTTTGCAAGTCCAGCCCTTGGTAGGCTCTATGCCTTCTGCCTCAGACTTACCATTCCATTGGTAATGACCAGCCTCGGGGCTGCAGGGCTGCTAGGGAAGAGACCTAGTGGGTGTCCACTGTACATGACCAGAGTCTGTTCCTCAGTCATCTTCGACAGGTAAGACATGGTCAGCCAGAACTGGAGGGAGAGAACACGTGCAGGACTCTGTAAGTGTGAACTGACACCCCATAGGGCCCCCCCAAGCCATACCCAGATCTAGGGATTCCTGCAGGTCCCAGCAGTCCAGTCTTGTCTCTCCAGATCCCCTTTATTCTCCGGGGACTCCTGCTACCTCCCATAATGCCACCCCTGTCTCTTCTTATAAGAAGCACTCCCAGGTAGCCACTAGTTCAGGAGAGGCAGGCATCAGGCAAAGTTGTGGATCACTGAGCTCTCTCCAGGCCACTGTACCTGAGCCCAGTTGCTGAACACCTGCCCATTGCCTCCATAAGTCACCAGCTCCTGTGGAAACTGAAGACATGATGTTGTGAGCGATAGGGCTGTGGACAGGGGGAAGCAAGGCCCTGCTCTCAGCTGTGCTCAAAGGTGTGAGGGCAAGGGAAGCTCCTGAAGTATGCCAGCCATGTGGGCTACTGAGCATGTCTGTCTGTATAACATACATCCTTGATCCAAGATTCAGTCTGAAAGGAGGAATATGAGGTATCCTACTGGGGAGGTGGGCACGAAGCCCCACCCCTAGCTGAGGAGCTATTGGCAACTGATAGGAGGAGAGAGAGTTTTCTTTAAGGCACCTGGTAGGCTGACCACTTTGCAGTGGATGGCCACACACCCAGGAGTGTATGGACTGCACAAATTGGATTTGATGGGTTAAAAAAATGAGGACACAAAGTTGGGTGGATAGGTAATGGGGGGGGATCTGGGAGGAGTTGGGAGAAGGGAGTGAATATGATCAAAATACATTGTATGAAACTCTCAAATAATTAGTAATAAAGGAAAAACAAATAATAATGTTGAGCTATATCAGGATAAAATATTGCTAAATCTGTGACTAAGAAAGCTTAAAATCACAGGTATATTTATATTATTTATATATTATGCACTATTGCATATTATTATAGGATTTTTATGTTATATTTGTATTTATTTCCTGCTTTTGATGTTGTCCTGCGGTTAACAGACAGTGGAACTGTTGGAGAGAAGCAGGAGAAGGGTTCAGGTACTGCCTTGTGCTAGCTCTGTGACTGCATTCAAGGCTATAGCATTACTTAAGGATTTCATGGCACATTTCTCTTAACTGTGCTAGCCTCAGTTTCCCCCATTACCTGGGCCACAGCAGGGTCCAGGTTGTTCATGATCATATGCATGATGGCTGCGGCTGCTTGTGTCTGGCATGGGTACTGATGGATTGGGTAGGCCCTGAAAAAGTAAGTCCAGCAGCTGGTGTGACAAGGGAGCCCCCAGACCTCATATCCTGCTAAGGCGCGACATCTGCTCTGGCCCAGTTGGCAGTGTCCATGCAGGTGTGGGTAGTAACACCAGGCACCAGGAGCACCCCTCAGGAGCTTCAGTACAGAAGGAGGCAGGCGCTGGAGCCACCAGCTGATAGGTGACTTGAGTTCCCACATGCCCACTCCAACCACTGTATTCCCTTACTTCATATACAAGAGGAAACTGACTACAAAGAGAGCTGGTGGATACTTTCTAGAATCCTCTACCTTTGAGTAGGTTAGTGATCTGTTCTTTCATTTACTTATCAAGTACTCCTGGGTGCCAATCCATGGCAGGTGCCAACATGTCCAGAGGAAAACAAGGGCAGTGACTCCTGCCTCATGGGGAGGTAAGAACCCCTGGGATTATGTAGAACAAGTCTGGGCCTTTGGTATGTTCAGAAAAATGGTTCTCTGTAAAATAGGCTGCAACACCAAAATTACAAATTCTTAGCCTTGGCCTAGAGCTGCTGGACCAGAAGCCCAGGGTGAGGCCCATATTGGCATCCTCACAATTTCCTATGATGCTGTGCATGCCACAGTGTGAGAATTCTAATGGAGAAGGTAACAGATGTGAAGTCACTGATTGTCACACACCCCCAGCTCTCCTCACCCTCCTGAGAGTCAAAGACATCATGTTTCAGGGGGACTTTGTACAGGATTCAGCTCCAGACTCACACAGGAATGACTACAGGACAGGGCTATTGACCAGAAATCTATCTGATAAGGAACCTATAGTGGTATGAATGAAAAATGTCTCCCACAGGCTCAAGTATTTGAATACTTGGTATATGGGCCCAGTCACTTGTGAAATCTTTAGGCGGTATGGCCTTGATGAAGGAAGTATGTCTCGGGGGAGGGCTCCTGAGGGTTCATAGCTTTGCTCCACTTGCTGTTTCTCTCTGCTTCCTGCCAGTGATTGAAGATGTGAGCACTCAGCTTTCCATTCTGGTCTCCTCTCCCACCATGATGAATTCTGATTCCTTTGGAACTATAAGCCCAATCAGCTCTTCCTTCTATAAGTGGAACCCCTGGAATCATTTAGAACAAGTCTAAAGTGCTCACCTCATCTCAATGCTGGGGCAGAACCGGTACATGTAGATGTGCCCGAACTGTCGAAGCTCCTGGGCAAATTCTGGGGCCAACAACTTCTGGACATCTGGTGGGAAGTAGCGCAGGGCATTCCTGAGTGCCAGCTGGGAAGGAGATGGGTTGTGGGTCCCAGGCCACTCTGAGGCCTCAATGTGGTCCATCCTCCCTCTCACCGGGATTGCCTCTGCTTCACTCAGACACCCATTGAATCACTCTGAGAACACCTCTTTGTCTTTGGAGGGGCCAGACTACTGCTGGGCAGGCAGGGGTCGAAGACTCAGTGGAGGACAGCAGACACCTTTGCAAACCCAGAGAGGTGCCCAAGGTGCTACCTCAGGTGGGAAGCCTTGGGCAATACACACTGCACATCTGATGTAGTAGCCTCAGTAATGCACCTACCATGTCCACATTCGAGTCCCCAGAACCTGTATGTTGCCTTACAACATGCAAAGGGGATGTTGTACAAATGACTCAGTTAATCTTGAGACAGGAAGCCACCACGGACTATCCAAGTGCAACTCTCATAATCACAAAGGTCCTTGTAAGAGGGGAGGGCCAGTGTCAGAGGAGGACTAAACTGCATATCAGAGTGATAAGATATATATTTGAGGATTCAGTGTTGCTAGAGATGTGTTGTCTGTAGAGAGGGTTTGCCCTGTGTGCCCTGCCTCCCCTACTTCATTGTCCTTGCCTTAGAGTAGGCATGATTATAGAAGCCACATCCTAGGTACTAATGACATGGTTAGAATGGTGTCAGGCACATCTATGGGATGTGAGAGCCCATACTGTCACCTCCCATACTCATGGTTCTGCCCTGTACTTCCTGGGGTCTCTACAGAAATGCTTACACAATCCAGGCATTGTGGAGACGAGGCATGAAGCCATCCTGCCCTTACTCATCTCCATGGTCACACTGCCCATCCGATGATGCTCACTCACACTGGCTTTGGCACTCTGGGTCTTCTCCAGTCACAGGCCTGATTCAGCCGTGCTCCCAGCTCTGCCTGTGTGGGGTCTCCTCCACTCCCACATTTTGGAAGACCTGTCTCTACTGCTTCCCTAGTCCCCAAATGGCCATCCTTCCCCATCTAAGAACCTTGTCCAACCTGACACAACCACTTCCTCCAAGAATCCTCCTAGGTCTCTTGTAGGGTGTGGGATTGGGTCCCTAGCAAAGACTCTTGTCTGTGCACTCAACAAGCAGGTGCTGGTGTCACTTGAGATCTAGAAATCAAGTTCAGGATGGTGTGTTGATAGAGATAGGTGTGCAGACCCATACAGGGAAGGGCTCCGCTGCAGTATCTGATGCCCAGCACAGCCATGTGAGTGAGGCAGAATTTGGGGGAAAGGTCATTGAGAAAAATTGCACACAGAGGAGGGGGTGTATAGGATGCTGGGGCGTTTTTAACAAAGGAACTACTCATGTTGTGAGATAGACCATGAAAGTTGAATTAGCCTGTGCTGAAAGTACAGACTAAAGCATAACAGCTTTCTCTCTTCAGTTAGAGTGAAGCCTTCAGTCTGTCCAAATAATGAAAGGATGGAATGGTACACAGCGGCTGAAAGAACGGGAACTCGAACAGCTACAAGGAACCATCTGGAAAACCCCTAAAGTACACTTTCACTGGCTGTCTGAAGAACACAAAGAGAGGGCCTGGGTATCTTACAAGAGTATGGCTGTTCTGGAAGGACGTGTCAAAAAAAGTAGCCACAGTGAATTGTATGTTAACCACAAAACTTACACTTTGAAATGTTTAAAATTATTTTTATTGTGTATGAGTGTATTGACTGCATGTATGTAAGTGCAATGCCTGTGGAGGTCAGAAGAGGGCGTTGGATTCTCCTGCAACTGGAGTCACATGGTTGTTAGGAGCCTGTGGGTGCTGGGAGTTAAACCCAAGTCCTCTGCAAGAGCAATTGGTGCTCTTAACCACTGAGCCATCACTCCAGCCCAAAACTTAAACTTTTATAATATTCTACTTGGTTATCTTATAAAACTACCTTTAAAATTTGTCAAAAGTCAAAGAAATATACTTAAAAAACTAAAGTGGAGCTGGGGAGCTGGCATGGTTGGCAAAGTGCTTGCCCTACAAGCCCGAGGACCCAAGTTTGGATCCCCAGAAGCCATGTAAAAAGCTGGGCAGAGTGGCATGTACCTATAATCCCAGTGCCAGGGAGGTGGAGACAGAAGGAACCCTGGAGCTCACTGCCAGCCAGCCATGCTCAGTCTCTTATTTTTGTCTCAAAAAATAAGGTGGAGAGTGACTGAAGAAAACACCCAACATTGACCTCTGGCCTCCTCACACACATGGGCACACATACCTGTATACATGTGCACAGATGAATACACACACACACACACACACACACACACACACACACACACACACAAAGCAAGTCAATGAAAAAGGGAGATGTGTTTCCAGTGAAGCTGTCACTGGGTTTGGGGAGTTGGTTCCCAGAAGCAAGACTTGGCCCCTTCCCAGCTCAAACTCCCAGTCTGTGAGTTCTCCCTCCTCTAAGGGTGCTGCGTCCTTCAAGCAAATGGTGACAAACATGAGGGACACCTAGGTGGCCTGCCCTCCTGCCACTGAAAAACACCACAGGGGATGGTCACCACCATACAGCCACAAGGATGTAACCAGAAATCCTCAGGTGTCTGCAGCTGTCTGCAGGCCTTCCCATCCCTTATGGCTGAAGGTTAAGGTACTGGTGCCCAGCTGAGAGTGACCAAAGGGAGGAAATATTAGCCACCACAAGGACACCAGCTCAGCAGAGGCAGATGGGCCAAGTGAGAAGGCAGGCTGCCCCACCCCCACCACCCTGCCTGTCCTCCCTTCTTGCAGTGCCCGTTCCTTGCCTGGCAATACCCCACCCCCAGTTCCTCCCTCTGCTGCCCTTCTTCTGGTGGTAGTCCACCAGTCTCCCACCCTAGCACCTCTAAGCATGCCCCTGCCTGTGGCCAGCTGGGAGAAACTTAAGGGCAGTCTTCCTTGGCATCCCTCTCTATGGGACATGGGGCTGGGACTCCATCAACCTTCCTACTTCCATGTATTTTTCAGAAAGGCTGTCCTACCAGCCTTGGCCTGGCAAATTGTGGAATTCCAGGGCTCCTTGCCTTTTGGGTAAAAGGATCCACTAGGTGAAGGGCTACCTGGACTGTCAACTCTCTCCAGCACTGTCATACCTTCCATGACTGGTGGGGGCTGCATAACCTTGGTCACTGGAAGGTTTAGGGGAGGTACAAAGAAAAACTGCTGCAAGAGGATGAGTCACTCACGTGGGGCTGGGCAAGGTTCACATGAAGCCACTGCAATGGAGCCACTTCACACCCCGCCTCTTTCTCCTCCCCACTAGAGGTGACCACAGTGCCACCACATACTGTTTAGGTGACCTTGAGCCCCAGTGCTCTCATCTGTAAATGGGGATTCTAATTCCAAGCCCAAGGTTCTCCAGGGTGACCTCACCTAAAGAACATCAGGTGACAGAGTCTGACACATGTCCCCTTCCCCAGGAGCTGCTGGAGGCAGGGTGGGCAGCTGAGGTGTGGCAGGAAGGAGGGGCACCCACCCACCTGAAAGGCACCAAAGGGCTCCAGAGAACCTGGAGGACTGGGTGGGAGTTGTTACCTGCTCCTCTTCAGGGCTGAGGCTGGGGTTCCTGACTGGAGCATGGGGCACTCCAGCCCAGCGTCCCCGGTTCTCGGGGAGCGGTCGTAGGGGCAGGCCGGAGCACAGCACCTGGAGGCTCGACATGTTTGCAGAGAGGCCAGTGTGAGGTGACTGAGCTATCAGGGGCCAGCAGAGCAGGGACTGGCAGCCTCAGGTCCACCTCTTCTAGGCCCTCATTGGGCCCAGGGCAGGGCCTAAGGGGCAGGTCTTTTTGGTCACCAGATGATAGGCCAGCTCCCTGAGTGCTGCTTGAAGAGGGGAGGGAGGCCCTTCCAATCCAGACTCAGGCTAGATGAACATGAGTCTGGGTACTGGTGGGCTTTGAGGCTGGGATTTGCTCAGGCAGTCTTGGCACATGTCACACAGGTGGCTATGTTAGAATGTGTGTCCTGATGCCAGGAGGCCACGTGATACTGAATCTGAACAAGCTCTGCAGAAACCAGTGTCCCATGTACCCCTCTCTCCTGCCACCTGGGAGGGAGGAGGCCAGGTGACAAATGTGGAAGCAATTTTCTGCACCCCCAGGATCCCCTAGTCACTAACAGCTTTGCTAGAAAGTCCTCCTCATTTCCCTGTCCATAAGCCAAGGCTGGGTGTTATGCCCATAGACAGGAAAAGCCCACCATTGAATCCCAGTGGTCCTGAGAAGTGACCACTCTTGGCCAGCCCTGTGGCCTTTGTCCCGTCCCTGTGTATACAGTGGGTGGTGACCAACACCTCCCGTTACAGAAAGAGGTCATGGCATTCAGTGCAGGGCAGAAGTGAGGGTTGGCTGCTTTATATGTTATTCAGCATTGGTTCTTCTGAGTAGAAAATGAGGCATCTCACCCTTGGATTGGCCCTGAGTATACATCCCAAGGTCAAAGAGGCTAGGACACTTGTCAAGGTTCCATAGCTAGTGATGGGTGAAGCTCAGATTGAAACCCTGGGGCCCAACCTCCAGCTGGAGTCACCATTGAGGTGGCTCCTGCTGTTACAGCTCCATGAGGAGGATGTTAATGGAATATGAGATTGTGGCATAATGATAGAAATATATTAGTCTCTGCCCTGGGCCTGAAGCCCTTGTGGCTGGAGACCCTAGGGGACAGTTCACAAATCTTGTGTCATTCCAGGGTGTGAGGCGAGTACATTCTATTCTAGAGAGGTAGCCTTGTAGCTTGTGGACAGCCCCAGCAGTCCACTGTTCCCTAGGGGAATTTTGGCTCTACTCCTGATCTCTAGAGAGGGGGCTGAAGGTGGAGTTGGTAACCAGTGGTCAATGCTCATATGAAAGGAGCCCCACAAAACCCTTAAGGAAGGCCTTACAGGGTTTGACAGATGTACAACATGGGCTCCTGGAACCCCAGAGAGGCCTGGGGGCTCCGTGCCTCCTGCATCTGGTCCTGATCACCTTCTGTCTGCTGTCACCTGAATCCTTACAGGAGATGAAGTAGCATGCTCTCCTGGTTCTGTCAGCTCTGTCAAGTTTTCTTTTTTGTGGTGCTGAGGATGAAACCCAGATCCTTGTACATGCTAGTGAGGCCTTCCACCCTTGATAAGCAACCCCAGCCCCTTATTAGCAAATCAATCCAGAGTTTAGGAGGGGATCTCACAGGAACCCCAATTTATTATCACTTGGTCAGATCAGAAGTATGGGCAGTCTTGGAGATCAAGCCCTCAGCTGTGGGATGTAGTGTGTTCCCCAAGTAGAGGGCCAGACCTAGACTGGACAAGAGGCATTTGCTGGTGTCCCCTAAAGGACTGGTTGTTGATGGAGAGAAAAATCCCACATTCATTTGGATGTGAATGGTTTTATGCAGAGTGTGAAATGAAAGTCTTTCTCATATTGGGGTCCTGGGGTACCCCAGGGGGAGGCTACCTTGAAGGAAGGATGAGCCAACAGACATGCTGAGCTGCACTTTCTGGTTTTCACTCAGCCTCCCGGCCTTTCCAGCCCAGGTGGCTGAACACTGCCTTGAGCCAGGCATTTTTGCAAGCCCTGACACCAGACAGGATGAGGCAGGGATCCTTTGACATTTCAGCTCCTACCCTTCCTCTTGCTTGAGCACTCACAGGGCCTGGACTCCAGCAGCTGTACCTGCCTCTTTCTGCTCACTAGTACCTAGAGCCTGTTCTTCCCACACAGAGGGCAGAGGAGGTCTGTGGAGTTGGATAAACTCCAGCTCCATTGATCCTTGGGGTGGTGGTAGGGGAGTAGAAATAGTACTTTGAACAGCAATCTACTGCATCTAGTATTCCCAGCAGGCCTTCCCCAGACATGAAGTAGGGCGAGGCTACAAACCCTCAAAGCGTGCCCCAATGATGTATTTCCTCTAGCAAGGCTACACCTCCAAAAGGCTCCATAACCTCCCCAAACAGCACCATCAACTAGGGACCAAGTTCGATTATGTGAGCCTATAGGGGACATTTCTCATTCAAACCAATACAACCAGCCTCATTGGTTCTGGGGAACTCATAAAAAGCAGCCTCAGGCCAAGTCAGAGACAGGTCACACTGCCAAACTCTGTGGGAGTGGTCCCAGGACTCCAGGTCCCTGGCTAAACTTGCCTCGTGAATCTCTCCAGGGATAGTCACATATAACCATATGCGAATATGAAGCATGTAGCCTGGCAACTCTCTGATGACAGCTGTCCCATCTGACTGCAGCAGTATGGGATCCCTGGATGGAAGTACATAACCAGGCCCCTTCCCCAGATCCTGATTCACAGAACTGAAGTGGCTTGGGGAGGCCACTAAATTTCAAAGCAGTTTGCTATTTGGCAGTAACTGACACGGCATGGCCTTTACAATGGCTGCATTTGCCTGAAAAGCTTCTCCAGACACCTATGTGGATACCAGAATCCTGCCTGGATTCGTATCTCTGTTCAGATGTCCCTCCACCTGAGTCCTGCCCCTCAAATTGTCACAGCAAATTCACTTCCCATTGTTTAACATGCTTAATTTTCTCCTCAGCCCCATTCACATTTTTCTTTTCTCTGCTCCCTCTGTAAACTCCATAAGGACAGGGGCTTACCGTCTTCTTCTACCCACAAAAATAGGTGTATTTCCTGAATGAATATATATGAATGAATGAATGAATGAGTGAATGGGGTGGGGTCCTTGCAGCATGCAAAGGGGAGTCCCAGGGAGCTGTCAGGGTCCTGGGCCTGGAGCCAGGCACCTGCACCCTCCCATCCCAAGACTCCAAACTTTCCTTGTGGCCTTTAGGGCCATCTCTGGCACAATGGTAGGCTGTCGTTCTCAATTTCGGTCACTAGGTGGCAGCTTAGAAAGTTAGGACTCCAGGGATGAAACTGGGTTCAGGAAACACAGGCCTGAGGAGACATGCAGGTCTGGGTAAGACTTGGGGCAGGTGGGAGATGTGGGTGACTCAGAGTCTTTGAGTCCTGGGCTGGGCTGGAGGAAAGTAGGGGTTTCCCAGGGCTGGGAAGTCCTGAGAAGGATGTGGTTTTATCATCAACAGGGTTGCCACCCCACTGTCATGTAGAACTATCACTGCTTTGTGTATGACTATTATTTGCTTAATATTTTTCCATGGAAAGATGGTTTGGTAGTTAAGTGTACTGGCTGCTCTTGCAGAAAACCCAGGTTTGGTTCCCAGTACCCACATGGTGGCTAACCACCATCCCTAATTCCAGTTCCAGGGCATCTGATGCCCTCTTCTGGCCTCCACAGGCACTGCACCACACGGGATCACTTACATACATGCAGGCAAAACATTCATACACGTAAAAATAAAGAAATTTAAAAATAGATACTTTGAAGCAAATAAGTGTATAAGATTTTTTTGTATCACTGCTATAAAGGCACCAATTAATTGCCAGGAAGTAGCTATAAGATTATTAATTACTAATATCAAATCTTTACTCACTGCAGTGAATGCTACCCAAACATCTTTGCATCTCATTTAATCTCCACAACACAGTGAGGTTTAATATTACCCCACTGTACTGGAACCAGGGACACAAGAGGGATTAGGTGAATCTCCTAATCTTTCCAAGCAGATGATACCAGCAGTTAAAAAACTGGAAGCTAGATGGAGCACGTTACCCTACACTCTGCTTAACTCTGGCTCAGCTATACACACATTTGCACACAGGGCCAACGGTGCACCTGGGTTCCCTGACAGCCTGACTTCTGGACAGCAAGACCATGGTTTACAGCCCTTTGTCTTTCATTTTTTTTATAAGATACTTTTTTTTTTCATACAGAAGAATTCATTCCAAGGCAATTGACATTGAGACGATTTCCCATGCATTTCTAATCTCTATATACATGACTATCACTGGTCACAGTCGCCCACCTTCTGAGCTCCTCGGCATCTGAGCATGAATACAAACT